ACGCTGAGGAACAGAGGAAGGACGGAGTGTCATATCGTGAGTGCCGGGGACAGCCGGAGCACGCTGACGACGAACACGAGGAACACGAGCACGGACAGCAGCTCTAGGCTCAGGCTCAAGGTCAAAGCTAGACTCAGGCTCTCGACGCTCAGGGGTGGAAGCACGAGTCTCAGGCTCTCGACGCTCAGGCAGGGACTCTGACACCGCAGTGTAAGGAGCAGGAGCAGGCAGTGGGGAGTGTGGTAGCAGCGGCGGCTGTGACTGGTCCGCCGGTGGACACAGCAACGGAGGAGTAGTACCTGCCACAGGGAAGCCAGTAGCACCTGGCTGAAGACTGAGAAGGTGGCGAAGAGCACCAGTAGCTCCACCAGGACCTCCAGCACCTCCAGCACCTCCAGCCCCAGCAGCTTCGGCGCCTCCAGCACCAGCAGCTCTAGCAGCTCCACGACCTCCAGCACCAGCAGTACCTCCAGTACCTCCAGCACCAGCAGCTCCACGACCTCCAGCACCAGCAGCACCTCCAGTACCTCCAGCACCAGCAGCTCCACCAGGACCAGCAGCACCTGCAGCTCCCCGACCTCCAGCACCAGCAGCACCTCCAGTACCTCCAGCACCTCCAGGACCTCCAGCACCAGCAGCACCTCCAGGACCTCCAGCACCAGCAGTACCTCCAGTACCTCCAGCACCAGTAGCTCCAGGTCCTCCGGTAGGAGCTCCGACGACACCAACACCAGAAGGACTCGCAGCACCCCCAGAGTCAGCACTCGAACTCGAAGCACCCCCAGAGGCAGCACCCTCGGTCTCAGCACTCGCAGGCTCAGTACCCTCAGTCGCAGCACCCTCAGGCCCAGTACCCTCAGTCCCAGCACCCCCAGGCCCAGTACCCTCAGTCCCAGCACCCCCAGTCTCAGTACCCTCAGTCCCAGCACCCCCAGGCTCAGTACCCTCAGTCTCTGCTCCAGTGTCCACAGCAGCAGGCTGCAGAGGCGGCGAAGACGGCCGTGGCGGGAAACCCGGGGGGGTCTCCAAGCGAGGAGTGCGGCGAGTGGTCGCCGTGTCGTCGGCGACGGCGTCACCCCCCTCAGGTGAGTCAGAGGAGTCAGAAGAGATCTCAACTGGCTCATCCAAGGGGGGTGGGTCTACCTGGGACACACCTGAGGGAGCAGGACCCTGTGGGGGAAGGGGGTCTACCGGGGGGGGGGACTGGTACCAGGAAGAGAGGTGCGAGAGGGACCGGGTGGGACGCGTGCGGGTGAAGTCGGTAGTAACAGACCGACTCGTCAAAGGTGACATCCTGAGAGGACAGAACACGACGCGAGGCAGGGTGGTAGAACTGCCAGGGTGGAGCGTCGGTGGGGAAGCCCAGGAAGACACAGCGGAGAGTGCGAGGGGAGAGCTTGCTCGCTTTGGTATCGCGAACAAGGGAGAGCGCGCCCCAGACCCGAAACGACGACGCATCACCAGGCTGTCCCGTCCAACGGAGTGTGGGCGAGGTCTCTGGAGCAGAGACACGGGGCCAGAGGTTGAGCTGATGCGCGGCGTATCGGACCGCAAACGGCCACAGGAAATGGGGAGCAGCCGCATAGATCATGGAGGTACGAGCAACCTCCATGATCAGGCCAATGCGACGCTCAGCGATCCCATTTTGCTGCGGAGAGGCCGGAAGCGTGAACGACTGGCGGATGCCCTCATCCTGGCAGAACGTCTCAAGGACGCCAGAGGAGAACTCACCACCCCTGTCAGAGTGCAGACGCAGGACTGGGAAGTCCTGCTGAAAGCGCTCGTGCAGCTGGAGACGAGTAGCACGGATCCAGCGGATCAAGACACCACTGACATCCGCCTTGCGCCGCAAGGGGAAGACTGTGGTGTAGCGTGTGTAGTCGTCAACCACCAGCAGGAAGTAGCGCTCCTGGTCCGTTCCACCGACGGGGGCCGGGCCCCACACGTCCATGTGGAGAGTCTGCAGAGGAGCAGTGGTCGGAGGAAACTCGGAGGAGTGAGGAGCGGCGCGCTGCCGCCCCTCGACGCAAGGAAGGCACGGCGGCGCAAGTGAGCGCGGGAGGGGGGGCAGGGTCTCAGGGAGGCCAGTGACCAGGAGCCGGGAGTGCATGCGGCGCAGACGCTGCAGGGAGGGGTGACCAAGACGGTGGTGCCAGCGCTGAGTCTCGTGCGTGAGTACTCAGCACGAGCAAGACGCAGCTAACTGCCCTGACGCAGACGCTCGACTCGACGTAGCTACCTGACCTGACTCAGCCACCTGTGCAGACGCAGTGGTCAGTGTGTACAGACTAGACCCAGGCTGTCGAGTTAACGTAGCCAGGTGACGGCCAGTCCGGGAGCACGTACAGATCGCCACACGCTGCCCTCCAGGAATAAAGGTATCAACCCAGACATCCTGAATGGCAGCGTTGCTCACCAAGTTCGTCGAGAACGTGGGGAGGTGGAGACCTGACAAAGAGCCGGAGGGGACTGCTGGACAAGGGAGGACCGTGGAGGCTCTCGCAACCACTGGGCCCCCAGAGGGGTCAGCCAGTGAGACTGGGACAGGTGCTGTGAGTGGTGTGACTGTGGTGCAATCACGGAAGAAGCAACGTGACGCGCCGGAGTCAAGCGTGAACGTGTGCAAGACCTCAGCTGAGGCAGGACCTGTGGTAGTAGACACACTAGCAACTAGAGCGTCGGTAGACTCACGGGCACCTAGAGCTGCAGCAGACTCACTAGCACCTGGAGTGGCAGCAGACTCACTAACACCAAGAGCAGCGGTCTTAACATAACGATAACCTCCACCATCAGGACGACCTCGCTGAATAACCCACTCACGAAGCTGCTGAGGGGTGGGGTCGTCCGGGAGAAGCAGTGCCCGCTGCTGTCCACCCCTGGCCGCAGCGACTGCCGCGGAAGTGGCCAGGACAGACAGTGACTGTCAGGAGTAGGTCCAGCACCTCCAGCTCCTACAGCGCCAGCAGCACCTCCTACACTCCCAGCAGCACCTCCTCCACTCCCAGTAGCACAAGTAGCAGCAGCAGCAGTAGTAACAGCAGCAGGGCGGTTCGGTGGGGGTGGGAGGCCGCACCTCCACCACTCCCAGCAGTACTCCCTCCAGTAGCAGCAGTAGCAGGGCGGCTCGGGCAGCAGCAGCAGACCGAGCAGCAGCAGCAGCAGCAGTAGCACTAGCTGTAGCAAGTGCAGTAGTAGGAGCTGCAGCAGTAGCACTAGCTGTAGCAAGTGAAGTAGTAGGAGCTGCAGCAGTAGTACTAGCTGTACCAAGTGAAGTAGTAGGAGCTGCAGCAGTAGCTTCAGTCAGGAGCAGCTGCAGTAAGTGCTGGAGTAGGAGCTGCAGCAGTAGCACTAGCTGTAGCAGAAGTAGCTTCAGTCAGTACCAGCTGTACCAAGTGCAGTAGTAGGAGCTGCAGCAGTAGCACTAGCTGTAGCTGGAGTAGCTTCAGTCAATAGTAGCTGTAGCAAGTGCTGGAGTAGGAGCTGCAGCAGTAGCACTAGCTGTAGCAGCCGTAGCTTCAGTCAGTAGCAGCTGTAGCAAGTGCCGTAGTAGCAGCAGCAGCAGTAGCACTAGCTGTAGCAGCACTAGCTTCAGTAGCAGCAGCAGTGAGTAGCGCTAGCTGTAACAGGAGTAGCGTCAGTAGCAGCAGCAGTGAGTAGCGCTAGCTGTAGCAGCAGTAGCTTCAGTAGCAGCAGCAGTGAGTAGCACTAGCTGTAGCAGCACTAGCTTCAGTAGCAGCAGCAGTGAGTAGCACTAGCTGTAGCAGCACTAGCTTCAGTAGCAGCAGCAGTGAGTAGCACTAGCTGTAGCAGCAGTAGCGTCAGTAGCAGCAGCAGTGACAGCTCGGGCTGGGCAGCGCGTAGTAGCAGTAGGCGCGCGTGGGCTGTGGGCGTGCCAACCAGGGGCGCGCAACAGGTGCGTGCGGGGCGGCACTACGAGGAGCGCGCATCAGGTGCGTGCTAGGGGCTGGCGGGCAGCGTGAGTGGCGCGCGCAGCAGCAGGAACGAGGGGGGGACCGGGCGTAGGGGCTGACGGGCCGCGCGAGAGGCGCACGGGGCAGCTAGGGCTCGGTCAGGGGGGTCGCACGTGACTAGGAACAGAAAATCGCGTCTAGGCAGAAAAGGGAACCGTCTCGCCTAGGGCACGTTTTCGCATTTCGCGTTTCTCCTAGGGGCGCGACTCGGGCAGCAGGTCGAAATAGTAGTGGTGGGCCCTTTTAAAATTTCGGTCCTAAGGAGCATTGTGCTCTTAATACCATGTTAGAGTTACTAGCTAGATGAGTGAGTTCGATTAGGTAAGGGGGGGGTACAAGGACTATCGAGAGAGATTGTTGTACCCTCTAAGGAAAGAACCCTACACAACCTAGAGTGAAATAAGCAGAACAATATGTTTTGACACCATCACGACGCTTGTGGTCACCACCGCCCGCGACGCTTGAGCTCTTGTGTTTCCGCCCGGCATCATCGGCAGCGGACGCTTGAGCCCGTGTGTCTCTCTTGCTGTCTCCTGCTTGTAAAATGTTGTCGTGTTGAACCCGTTCTGACGAAATTTTGCGAGATCCAGTTTCGACCTTGGTTGGAGGTTACCGTATGTGTGGACCGGTCTCAGGATGTGTGATTGTTTGTAAGGCAAGAATGAGGGGTGCTGCCAATTGTTGATACCGGTTGAAAGAGAATGTTTTGCATCCTATACACATTTATTCAAAGATATTTAACCTGCACTACAGGACCATGTACACGCACTCATGAGACCTAGGTACCATACAAGCAATGCACTTTTTGAAGGTCATAAGACCTACCACTAGGTACAGGCATCACATTGCAACCCCCTCTTTTCAACCCCCTCTAGTCAACACGTTGCAAGCCTGCAACCCCCCAAAGTACCGAACTTTTGAAATGCCTTTGGTTCAGACATCGCTACCCCCTAAGAACAAGTCTGTAGACCACATAAGGCCACCCTAGAAACCGTAGAAACAATATGCCTCATACAGACAAGCACAGCTTCAGTTCTCCTGCTCCTCAAGAAAAGTGTGGCACCACGGGTTGCTTCTGCAACCCTCTGCTGCCGATGAGGAGCCGAGGGGATAGGAGGGGACCGGAGGGGACAGGAGGTGAGAGGAGGGGACAGGAGGGGACAGACACGGTTGCTGCTGCTGCTGCTGCTGCTGCTGCTGCTGCTGCTGGTGATGGAGTTAAGAACGTCCCTGTCAGATAGCACCTCCACCAGAACAAGACGAGCCTCTTCCACCACTGCTACTCTAGCTGTGCTGTTGCTGTTGCTGGTGATGGTAGTTGAGAACGTCCCTGTCAGATAGCACCTCCACCGGAAAAAAACGAGCCCCTGCCTGCACAGCTGCTACAGCCTCCTCTCCAAATTCCACAACTGCTGCAACATCCGCTGCTGCTTCTGCTCCAAATGCTGCCGCAGCTGCCTCGTACTCATCCACCCTCCCACTGCTATCTGCAGCAGCTAAGCCCGCATCTACAGCAGACGGAGCTGCAGCAGTGGCAGTAGCAGTGGCAGAAAACCCAGCAGCAGCATCAGCAGCATCAGCAGAGGGTGTCAAAGCGGAATCAAACGCTACTTGAGCAGCAAAAGGGTACTCGTTAGCGGCAGATCCGTTAGGAGCAGCAAAGGAGACGTCTGCAGTGGCGGAGGCGCCAGCAAAAGCAGGGATGAGTGAAGGCTGGGAGCCTTGGGAAGAAAACTCCAAGGAAGGTGCAGAAAGACCAGTGGAGGGGGTGACATCTACTGCTACTGCTCCTACTGCTGCTGCTGCTGCTGCTGCTGCATTTGTTTCCACTGGATCACCAGAATTTGCAGCGGCTACGGTGTTACCAGCAGCTACAGCTCCTGCAGGCAGGGCGGCTGTAGCTGCTACAGCCACGGTTGTAGCATCAGCTGCCGGCTTTGGTGATTGCTGCAGGCCTGTGAAGCGTGCGAGATCCACCCATTGCTGGAGGTAGGTAAAGGGAGGGGGGGGAGGGAGGGAGGGAGAGGAGAGGGGAGGGATGTAAGATTGTGAGATTGGGTGCATTCACTGTGGAAGCAGGGAGGGGAAGGGAAACAGGCGTGCAATCTGAGTGAGCTGCGTTGTGGGGTAGCGAGAAAAAGGGAAAGGGGAGGTTTGCGATCCAGTGCTCAATAAGTGTGAGATGGGAGCGGGAGACGGGGATTAGGGGCGGGGGGGGAAGGGGGACGTACCGAGGTGCCCCAGTAGGAGTTGGCGGTGCGGGCGAGGAACGAGACTGCCGTCCCTGCGACGGGATTGGACGCCAGGTAATAGTCCGCGATCCAGTGCTCCACGATCCCTGCAATCGCCTGGTACCGCAGATTCGCTGACGTGGACAGGAACGCGCCGTACACCAGTGCGGTTTTGAACACGGGAGATCTCGCCACTGTAGATCCGCTGCCATTCGCAGCGGCTCCTACTGCCGTTGCTACTGTTTCCGAACCTGCCGGCGCCCCTCCCGCCGCAGCGCCTGCTGCTGCCGTTTCCGCTGCTACACGCGCCGATTCCCCTTGCCCATCCGCCGCCTGCCCGACGCTGTTCGCGGTCAGCTTGTTTTTCATGTCCGCCAGGAAATTCGTCAGCGACAGGGTCGCCACACTCGAAACAAACCCGACCGAAAACAATTTCGTTCCCGCAACCACAACCGTTCCGATTCGCTCCGCGAGACCAAAATTCTGCCCGGGCCCAGCCATTTGGAACGCATTGTGGGGCAGCGTGGAAATCCACGAGGTCAGCCCGCCCAAAAGGTTTTCCCCAGCTGCCCCAGCTACCTGCGCGGCCGGCCCCGCGGCATCCCGGAAGGAGAGACGTGGCGCGGGCAGCCACACCGAAAAAAAGTTCACCACCGTTCCCCGGAGAATATCCGCGGAAACGTATTCGAGCTCCGACCAGAATCGATCCCCGCGCTTCTGGAACTGGGCGGCAAGTGACGTGGCGATACTAATCGCCTCCTCCGTGCACAGGCGCTGCAGAAATCTCGGATCCGCGTAGAACCGCTCCCGCAATCCCTGGAACCGCTTCGTCGCCTCCGCGACGAGCGGGTTGTTCTCGAGCTCGAAAAAGGACTGGAGCGTGTCGGGGGAGATTAATCCGCGCTCGATGCCGACTTGCAGGTCGCGCGGGAGCGCCTCGGGAGTGCGCCCCGCGGCGCCCATCACGCGCGCGATTTCCGCGCGGTCGAAGCAGTTGCGCGTGCACGCCCAGCTGCCCGAGTACCAGAAGAAATCCGCCTCGGGGAAGTCCGACTCGAGCCGCGCGCGCTGCCGCTCGGGATTCAGCAGCACGACGGCCTGCGACGCCGACGAAGCGCGCAGCCAATCCGCGACGCGCGACGGCACGCCGCGACCGTTAATCCCAAATCGCACGTGCGACGCGCCCGTCAGAACGACGAGCAGCCCGATTTTCCCGCCTTCTGACATCCCCTGCGAGATCGCGCTCGCCATGGCATGATCTTCCACAACGCGCGCCTGCGCGAACCAGTACGGGCCCGGGCCGAACGGGAACGAGGCTCGGGAGGAAGAGGTTCGGGAGACAAGAGGCTCGGCAGCGTTCGCGATGGGTTCGATTCCCAGCAGCCCGCCGTTGCCGCCGCTGATGCTGCTGATGCCGCCGCTTGCTAATGCCGCCGCGTCGCCGGTCGCGGCGGCGCCAAACGCGGAAGTGTTACCGCCACCGTACGAAGGGACGGCAGTGGTGCTGTCGGGCCGCAGGAAGACGGCCGAGCCGCCTCCGAGTGGCGGCGCGTACTTTTTGCGGTCCGACGGGGAGAGAGCTTGAATGCCGCCAGCTTGCACTGTGCGAAGCACCTTGGGGGGCACACCGCACGCGAACAGGCGAACTCCTGCTTCGCGACAGTAGCGAAGGAGTGGTAACATCTCCTGGAAGCGGCCCTTTGGCCAGTAGTTGACTGCCACCTGGAGCTCATCCTCGGGAAGCCTGCCGGAGAAAACAACAGCGAAGACGAATCGAAGACAGGTTAAGCATTCCGCGAAAAAGCAAAACAAGGAGCGAGAAAAAAAAAACGGAAAAATAAAAATAAAAAAAAATCGAGGGCATGGCTACCTACAAAATAACATCCACCTGCTTACCTTCCTCCGATAAACTTGTCCAGGAGCGGCTGCATGGAGCGCGGGAACGCGGAGAGCGCGAGCGTGACCGGGCGACCCGCGGCGAACGAGTCGTCGCGCAGCTTGCGAAGGATTTCGAGCGCCACGGCCTGCGAGAATACAATAAAATCGTATCAAAATTGATCGAAACGATATAGATTACGAAGGCGGAGAGGGGAATCTGGTGGGGCATCTGGCGGGAGCGACTCGCTGTGCGGTTGGTTTGTGCGATGGCGAGAAAACCGGGAGAAGAAGAAACGAGGGGGATGGGGATGTGGGAAGGACGGAGATGGAGGAGAAGAGATGAAGGAGGAAGGATGAGGGGCACGGAGCTGGGGCTGTTGGGGCGATTGACGAGAGTGAAGCGTCATTGAAAAAAACGCATTAGAATAAGAAAAGGCATAATGGAATCTACGAGCGGGGATTTAGAGTCCAACCCTTAGCAGCGACGAGAAGACACAGCAAGACAGCGGCACGCACAAACAAGTGGTTACTAACAGAACACTGTTACCAGATCCGCTTTCGCACCTTATCCGTGGGATCGCGAACGACCTCTGCTTCGCCAAGGTAAACCACCTTCGCCGCCAGCAGTCTCTCCCACGCCTTCGTCTTATCCCCGACAAGAGCCGGCTCGCCAACCGTTGTAGCGTCATACACGCGCGATTTACTCACTGCCGGTCCGCTCTTACCCAATAACCCCCCCTCTCCGTCCACACCCCCTGCCGCGTCGCCTAAGAACCACATCGGCTGCTTCTTAGGAGGCTCTACGGTCTTAGCCAAGGCCGCGTCGACTAATCCTAACTCCGCGGCTCCCGTCGCAGCGAGGGTCGCAAGGCCGAGTCCCAGTAGCGTGCGACGGTCCATCTTGGGCGACGAAAGCTTTGCGACGGCTTCGGTGCGAGGAGGAATAACGGTCGGGGGGGCGGCGCTAGCTGAATCTACCGCGCTAGACGAAGGGGTTACGGCACGGCTACAGTCAATACGCGCCGCATCAGAGGCATCACGCGCAACATGCGCATCACGTTGGACTGCAGCTGCTGTCGTGGATCGGGAACTAGCGCCGGACGAAGACGACGAAGAGGATCGCTTGACTGACACCGTAACGTTCGGCGACTTTTCCGCGAGGAAAGGGTTGACTCTGGCTTGGCTACGCTTCCGAAAGCTGCTGAGACCGGTGTTGTTCTTATTGCGAGCCGCGCAGCGATCTAGTGACGAAACGGGTGCCGGTGTGAACGGCCGACGAGATCCGGCGACTCCGGAAAATGCGGGTGAGAATCCGGAACTTCCGGAGAAGAACCCGCAGGCCGCGGAAGACATGGCGTCAGGTGCGGGGGAAGACAGCGATCGCGGGAGCGGGGCGACGGCGGGGGAGGATACAGATCGGGGGAACGCCGCGACTCCGGGGGACTGAGAGAGGCGCGGGCTCCGCTGCGGATTCGCCGATGACCGCTGACGCTGAGACGCGCGTTTCTCGAGGGACGGAATAAAGGATTTGCTGGAGGGGACGAGGCCGTGCGGAGTTGACTGACGTCGCAGGAGCAGGGTGCGGGTGTTATCCATGCTGCCGGCAGGACTCTGGAGCTATTTGGACCTGTTGAAAACTGTTTTAGTGACAAGTCGCGGGAGTGCGCGAAGCAGGGAGACGAGGGATGAAGTAGAATCTGCGAGAAGGATGACGCTGGAGCAGCTGCCACTGCAGGCCTTAGTGGCACTGCTCTAAGAATTAGACCTCTAATTGAATTCAGTACTAGCCACGGGCTTCGTACTTGAAAGCCCACTGCTCCGCACTCCCTACAGCAAGTTGTCACAGCCGCAAAATGAAACCAGCTTCTGGAGGAATCGCAACGGAGAACACGAACTGATGATTAGTACGCCATGGCCATGGCCATGGATGAAACCTGGTTGAGCGTATCGAGGCAAATTTCAAGAACAGGGGAGGACGAGATGGGCAAGGGCAGATTAGAGTGGTGGGCAGATTAGAGGAACGAGTAGGGCAGATTAGAATGGCGGCGATGGGCAGGCACGGGCAGGGGGAGGTTGGGCGGAGAGGAGAGACATGACGTGACATGGGCTAACTGGATGCGAAAGGGACTGCTGGAAGTCACCAATTCGTGGGTTTCGCTGGAATGCGGTGTTTTTGTTCGCATCTGTGCTGTAACCTGTTTTTGTTTTGTGCGTGATTGCCTTACAGGGGCACACCTTAGATTGCCTCGCAGAAAGGGCAGAAGACAAAAGTTATGCGAGGGCCCAATGTGTTTGTGGTGCTCATGGCGGCACGACAGATTCACCGAACGGTCTGGAACACTCCTCGTGAATGGAGCCGCGTTATGCTCGGAGGGGGAGAGGTCCAGGGAGATCCGAAGATGCTCCCCCCTACAAAGATTCCGTTCCCTCGTATTGGTCGAAGGGAATCCGCCTGTCGGCGTGGCACAAGGATCAACACACGTAAAAATTCTCGCTAGCGCGACGTGCGGAGGAGCTGCCAGTACACGATTAAGATGTGGACGTGAGGAACGCTTGAACGGAGCGCGTGTTCACGAAGTGGGGGCTCGTGCTGGCAAAGCGAAGAAATATCACGTCGCCGCATTTCCCTGCGCCATAGAAAGTCTTTCGCGCGTGAGATGGCACGACTGTACACGACCTGGGAGATCTTCTTATCCGTTCGCACAGTCATTCTGCGAGATGAGAGCATCATATTGCGACGCTTTTCAGTCGCACTGGCGCTAATCTGTCGCCCAGTCATAATGACACAACCCCGTCCCCTGTGCAAAGATCCGTCCGTCTCCTCGTGTGCTTGTTGGAACAGTGCTCGACCAATGAGGGGAAGAACGCTCGACATTTCTCTGAATACTGTACACCATTTTAATCGTGACTCTAACACCTAAAAGTTTTGCTTGTGAAGGTTAGGAAATGACAGATTTTCATCAAATACAATTCTCTGAATATTCCATAAACAATCAGCTTGGCAGAAAATCGAGCAGCCAATGATATACATTTAACATGCTTGAGATTGGCACATGTACCGTATCACATAAAACACCTAGCTCACTATGGCATGACTACAGAAGCACCTTCTCTGCTGCTTTCGCACTCAGGCCCCTCCTCCCTCTAGACAAAAATCCCCACCATCTTATGACCATAATACTCACTGCAAGTCGCCCTCTGCGCGCACAAGGCCGCGGCCAAAGTAAAGAGCGACGACGCCAAAGCCGTCGCGGGCGTCATGCAGCTCCTGGAAGAAGCGGTCGTGGTCCGCCGCACTCTGCCTCAGCCCCACCCGCATCTCCCTCACCACCCGGTATGAAGCGGCACACTTGGGGCACTCCATCCCCCCCTCTCCCCCCTCTCCTTCTCCTTCCTCTCCTCCCTCTCCTGCCTCTCCCATCCCTCCGCCATACCCCCCCGCTCTTGCCCCGCCATACCCTCCTCCTCCCACGCCTCCTCCCATCACCCCTCCGCCCCCGCTCACCCCGCCCACATCACCAGCCATTGAGGCGGCAGCAGCGGCTGTAGCGGCCGCTACAGCCGTGGTTGGGTCGGCGAGGCAGCGCAGGTGGAATGCATGCAGACAAAAGAAGTGGACGGCGGGGAGGTCGAGCGGCGAGTTGCACTCGGCACATCGGGAGGACTGGAAGACAAGAGGTTCGGTCAGAAGCTGGTGCAGCTCCTTTCGGTACTTGTCAGTCTCGTGCTGTTGGGGTGTGCAGGGGTGTTTGTAAGACAGGAGGGAAGGAGAGATGTCACCGCATATGCACGTGATGCATATGCAATAACAGTAGAAGGATGGAACAGGGTGGGCTTGACATGACAATGATAGGATGATGAGTTAGTTATATGTATGTGAAACAACAAGTAGGAATGGGTGTAGGGGGAACTATAGTTACTGTTGGGAAAGGGTGTAGAAGGGGGGAAATGGGATCGTGGCGGTTGGATTTGGGAGGGAAAGGGCCTCGACAGGCGAAACCTGCCAAAGCTGGTAACACCCCACCCGAGCCGCACATGTGGAAACGTGCAGCCTTGGGTGGGGTCATAAGCTGCTCCCTCCCATCCCCTCCTTGCTTTCTAGTGTATAATTCTCTCAAACTAGTGAATCTGGTTGTCTCACGCTCTAGCACACGACAGCACGACACTAAGAGGGAACCTACGGGGTGGGGGACGATACACTTTCATTACACACTAGAAAGGAGCGTACGGAGGATAGGCTCGAACGAGATGGATAAGTACGAACTGCGTTGGGGTAGGGCGTATAGCCGTCGGGAGGAAGAGCGAGAGCGTCGCGAACCGTCCCGAGAACGTGGGCGATCCTGGGAGCGGTCGCCGCGCCGCCCCGCTTTCTGCGCGGATCAGGTTCCCGCTGTGAGGGACGGTCGAGCGACGGATGCACGCGCGAGCGGCGGAGGGCGCGTCGATCGGGCAGATCGAGAGGCGTGGCCGCGAGAGAACGTACGCGGAGCGGGCGCGGAGGGCGGGAGTCACCGCGGCACCGGGACGTTCCACTCGCCGGAAGAGCGCGGACGGCGCCGCGATGAGCGAGGGCGGTGGCTGGGTTTCGCGGAACGATCCCGCGGACGAGAGCGGGATGGCGGGATCGACGCGCACGGAATGGACTCGGGGCGCAATGTGCCACGGGAACGGACGCCAGAGCGAGACGCGGAGGGCGCGGAGGACGCGGAGGACGCGGAGGACGCGGAGGACGCGGAGGAGGAACCAGAGGGGCCATACGAGGAGGCGGATGTAGAAGGGGCGGATGAGGCGCAGCCAGGGGGAACCGGCGAAGCGGAAGCCACGCCGGCGGAGGGACAAGCGGAGACGAGTAAGGCGGCAGCCGCAAGGTCGGAGGCCTTGCTGGCGGGGAGCGTGCGAGCGAGAGGGTCCCCACGGGGGGAGCCGGCACGCGGCGGACTCCAGACTACGGGAGCGAGGGACACCGGGAAGAAACGATCGAGCGGGGCAGGCGCCGAGCCCGCGCCGCAAGGGGAAGGCGGAGAGGTCACGCTCGCCGGAGAGGGAGCGGCGCCGCGAGGAGTGGCGCGTGGGCGAGTTCCGCCCGCACGGCGAGCGCCAGGAACAGGGGGAGTGGAGCGGCGGCGCCGCGCATTCGGCGGGACGATGGCAGCCGCGGGGTGACAGGAGGCAGGCAGCGGAACCTGCGTCGCCGAAGCGGCACGATCAGCAGCAAGGGGGGCGCAGCAGCACCAGGCGCTCGCCAGGAGGGACGGGGCAGAGGGAGCGGAGAGACAGTAGTTGGTCCCGCTCGCCTGCTGGACGTCACGCGCGGAGGGAGAAGCACGACGGGGAGCAGCGATCACCGGAACGTCGCCAGCCGCGCACTTGGCAGGAGCACCTGGATACGTGGTCACCATCACCAGAGAGGCGGCCGCGGCACGAGACGGGCAGGTGGGAGGAGCGGGAGGCGCGCGTGCCGCCGACGCCGCAGTGGGGACGGACAGAAGGGCGGGGAGGATCGTGGGAGAGGCGGAACGAGTCTGGAGGGAGCCGCCAAGAGGGCAGGACAGGGGGCGGAACCTTGGCGCAGGGGGCAGAGCGGGCACGGGAGGCCAGAGAGGGCATGCAGAGGGCACGGGAGAGGGGACCAGAGGAGAGGCGGACAGAAGGGGCCAGGGAATCATGGGGAGAAGGGCGGGGGGGTGGCACCGGCACCCCGCGAGTGGAAGTGCCCGCCAGATTCTCAGGCGACCAACGAGCAGGGCCGACCCTCAAGAACTACCTTATGCAGGTGGGGAATGTGCGGTACCGCTGCGACCGGCATCACATGGACCCAGTGGACTTCTTCTTGAGCCTGCCGAACACCCTGGAGGGAGAGGCCGAGACGCTCTACCGCATGAGGATGGAGGAGCTGCTGTGGAGGGTGGGGAGGTACGACGAGGATCCCACCGAGGCCTTTTTGGAGCGGTTGCAGCGGCAATTCCCAGGGCACACAGCAGAGCGCATACGGGAGTTCCAGGAATTCAGCAGGGGTAGGACTGAGTCACTGCTGACCTACTACAACAGGCTGCTCAATGTGGCGGAGGACGTGAGGTGCACGGACGGCAGTCTTCTCATCAGCAAGTTCCTAGGGGGCCTGGACGAGGCCCTGGGAGGGGGGCTGAGGATGAGGGTGTACGAGCTGGGAGCAGACGCAAGCCTAGAGGAGGTGTTCGCTCTGGCAGAGAGAGTGGAGCTGGCACAGCGGAAGTTTGAGGCGTATCTCCCCAGGCCAGCGGAGAGGGGCAGGCGGCCCACATGGGCGGCGGCAATGATACCCGGAGGAGGAGGGAGGACAGAGGGACGGGGGGAGACAGGGACAGACACCAGGACATGCCACAGGTGCGGACAGCCAGGACATCTGCGCAGGGATTGCAAGAATTGTGACGGGTGTGGGAAGCCGGGGCACAGGAAGCGGGAGTGCCCAGAGGCAGCCAGGTGTGAGAACTGCAAGAGGCAGGGACATGAGGCGAGGGATTGCTACCAGAGGGAAGGGGGTAGTAGGAGGCCTCCAGAGGAGCTGCAGCGGCAGATTAGCAGGTTGCAGGCACAGCTAAGGGCGACCGGGCTGAAGGGGGAGGCGGAGGCAGGGATGTACGCGGGGGACGGGGGAGGAGAGGAGGTGGAGCAGGATGTGCAGTGCGCTCTCATGGCGTGGAGGGGGAGGGAAGAGATGGGGTTGAGAAGCGGAGGCAGAGATGGCAGGCGGGAGCAGGGGAGGAAGGAACAGGTGAAGGGAGGGAAGCCAGCCGAACCATCCCTAGAGCCGGCCCCCGCGCGCCATCCTCAAGAGAGGCTGGCGTGCCAGACCTCGGTGCTGCTGTTAGAGAAGGGAGCCATGGAAGTGGAGGGAGAGAAGGTGAGGACAGCCATCATAGACACGGGGGCACAGAGCGTGATGCTAGGCAAGGGGATGGCTGAGAGGCTGGGATTGCTGGCGCCAGAGAGGCACGTGGCGAAGGGGATGCTAGTGATGACAGCGGAGGGAGGGGAGCCGAAGTGGATGCCGTGTACGCGGACGCCCATAGAAGTGACGCTGATGCCGGGGGGGGAACACGAGACTAAGATCCGCATGAAGTGTGGGATTTCCGAGTCGGAGGACTTTGACGTGTTAGTGGGCACCGAGCTGGTGTATGCGGTGGGGATGACCATATGCACGTGGACGGAGAAGGTCGAGTTCAGGACCAGGTACTGGAAAAGGGAAGGGCCGCTTGGAGAGCTGCCAGTGCGATTTGTGAAGGTGGAGCCGAAGAGAGCTTATCAGGCAGTGGGGGAACGGCTGCAGGGGGAGTAAGGGGGGCTGGCAGGGATGGGAAGGGCGCCCAAGATGAGGGGGATGGACAAGCCACAGGAGCAGAGTGACTGGCAGCAGCCCATCCACCTGGTGGAGCTGTTTGGGGGGATAGGGGCAGGGCTGTCCGCAGTGGTGAGGAATGGGATAGCAGTGAAGAGGTGGACATATGTGGAGAAGGACCCCGGGGTGAGGAGGATGGCGGAGCACCATGCCAGGAAGTTGCAAGGGGAGTTTCCGGAGCTGCTGAGTGAGGAGGTGATCAGCAGGGCGATGGGGGGGACGGTCCATGACGTGACGGAGATAGGTGAGGCAGAGGTGGCGAGCTGGGGGCAGGTGGATCTGCTGATGGCAGGGTGGGAATGCCAATGGGTGTCTTGGGCAGGCAAGGGCAGGGGAGGAGATGATGACAGGACAGGGTTGCTGGAGGACCTGTTCCGAATTATGGGGTGGCTGCAGGAGAGGCAGGGCAGGGTGGCGTACTTGCTGGAAAACCTGGACCTGGAGGGAGATAGCAGAGAGCCAATCCGGTTGGTGAGGGACAGAATCAGGGGGCAGCTGGGGGAAGGGGTGAGCTGTGATGCGGCCAAGATGGGATCCTATGCGCATAGGCTCAGGATGTACTGGCAGAATGTGGTACCTGCCGCGCAACTGCAAACAGAGATAAAGGGGGTGAGGCGAGCGGCAGGAAGGAGGGTGCAAGATATACTGGCACCAGGGCGGACCCCAGCACCGGTGTGTCGCAAGAGCTACAGCAGGCACGAGCAGTGCAACCAGGTGGGGCAGGAGAGGCGGGCTCTGCCCACGCTGGTGGCATATGTGGGGGCAGCAGGGTACAAGTGGGAGGCGGGGAAGCCTGGGCCAGGGATGGTGTATGACCACAAGAGGGGAAGATGGGAGGAGCCCACGGCACTGGAGCGGGAGCTAGCCATGGGGTACGGGGAAGACGCAACAGCAGCGCCTGGGGCAAGTGAAGCAGACAGGAGGAGGGCCCTGGGGAATGCCATGGATGGCCACGTGATGAGGTGGCTGATCCAGAGAATGTGGCGGGAGACGGTCGTGAGCTGGGGGCAGGCGGAAGAAGGGGGAGGGGTTGAGGCGGAGCTATGGGGTGCATGGAGCTGCAAGAAAAAGGAGGAGGAGAGCTGGGTGGTGGGAGAAGCAATGAGCAAAGAGGGGAGGGAGGCGATGCAGGAGCTGCTCGCCAGGCACAGGAAGTGTTTTGCTTTCACCATGCAGGAACTGGGGAGGTGCAAGGTGAAGGAGATGGAGCTGAAGCTGAGCAGCACTGAGCCAGTATTCCAGCGCAGGAGGAAGATGCCGCCGGGAGATGAGGAGATCTGTAAGGAAAAGATTAAGGAGCTGCTGGAAGCGGGGCTGATCAGGAGATCGGAGTCCGAATATGCTACGCCGACAGTGGTGGCAGCCAGGAGGGATCTGACAGGGGAGGTGCTGAGCAGGAGGATGTGTGGAGACTACAGGGCACTCAACAAAATCACCGTAGCAGACAGGTACCCGATGCCGATGGCGGAGGAGATCTTTGACAAATTGGCGGAGGGGGTGTTCTTCACGACGCTGGACCTGCGGCAGGGGTTCAACCAGATCAAGATACGGGAGGAGGACGTCAGGAAGACAGCCTTTCATGGGCCAGACGGGCTGTACGAGTGGTTGTACATGCCGTTTGGACTGCGGAACGCATCAGCAGTGTTCCAGAGGGTCATGGACAGTGTGCTGCGGGGAGTGGAGTGCGCGGCCTGCTACATTGATGATGTGGTGATTTTCAGCACCACAGAGCAGCAGCACCTGGAGGATGTGGAGCGGACCCTGGCGGCGATTGAAGCGGCGGGACTCACCTGCCACCCGAAGAAGTGCAAGTGTGGGGAACAGACAGTGCAGTATCTGGGGTACGAGGTGAAAGGGGGACAGATAGGGATCCAACAGGCCAAGGTGGAAGTCCTAGACAGGCTGCGGGAGCCAAGGGACAAGTCAGGGCTGAGAGCGGTGCTGGGCTTCTTGAGCTACTACAGGCGCTTTGTGCCCAACTTCAGCAAGAGAGCAGCGGTGTTGAATGGGCTGCTGCGAGAGGACAAGGCGTGGGAGTGGGGAGAGGCGCAGAAAGGGGCACTGCAGGACCTGATGGCAGCAGTGAAGACCGCCACAGTACTCAAGCTGCCCGCCGCTGACCAGCCGTTCACACTCTACACCGACTGGAGCAGCCAAGGAATGGGGGGGATCCTCTGCCAGGAGGTGGAAGGAGAGGAGAAGGTAGTGGCATACGCGAGCAGAAGCTGCAACTCGGCCGAGGCACAGTACAGCTCCTACATAGGAGAAGGGTTGGTAGCCGTATGGGCAGTGGGACATTTCAGGGTGTACCTGCAGGGGAGGGAATTCACCTTAGTGACAGACCACCAGCCCCTGACATGGCTGATGTCAACCCCGGGGCTAACGGGCAGGAATGCAAGATGGGCGATGAAACTGCAGGAGTATGACTTCAAGATCAGGCACAGGCCAGGAAAGACCCTGCAGCACGTAGATGGCCTCTCTCGGAACCCCCCACCGCTCGAGCCCACTGTGACCTTGACGATGCTGGCCAGGTTGGTGGAGCAGAACGGGGCCAAGGAGGGGAAGGGGCCAGCAGATATCTGGGAGGACGGACCGGCCATGCGGTGGGTGAAGGGAGAGACGGGAGAGGACGAAGCACTGCCCGCACGAGTGAGGGCAAGGGGCCAGCACTACAGGTGGTACCAGTAGCAGCTGCAGGTGCAGACAGAGGACGGATGGAAGCTGGTGCCGGCCCCAAGCGAGAGAGAAGCGGTGATTAAGGAGGTCCACACCAAGCTAGGGCACTTTGGGCACGAGAGGACGGTGCAGCTGTTGAAGACCGGCTGGTGGTGGGAGGGGATGCGGAGGCAAGTGAAGGAGTGGGTGGAGGGCTGTGAGGCATGCCAGAGGAGCCGAGCCAACCTCTCCCAAGCCAAGGCGGAGCTGCAGTCGCTGCCCATCAGAGGACTAGGCTTCCGATGGTCCTTAGATCTCGCGGGGGAGCTGCCGCTGAGCCGGGGAGGGAAGCAGTACATAGTGCTCATGGTCGAGCATGTGAGCAAGTGGCTGGAGGTGAGAGCGATCCCGAGCAAGAGCTCCAGACACGTGGCAGCAGCGTTCAAGGAACAAGTGTTGTGCAGGTTCGGGGCATGTGCAGAGGTCCTAACGGATCAAGGGACAGAGTTCCAAGGGGAGTTTAAGGGACTGCTGGAGGAGACAGGGATCACGCACAGGCGCACATCGCGGTACCACCCACAGAGCGATGGGCTGACTGAGCGACTGGTGCAGACACTGAAGCGGGGGCTGCGGGCGTACGGGGAGAAGAGGAAGCGGGACTGGGACGAGGAGCTGCATTGGATAGCGGCGGGGTATCGGTTCGGGAAGCAAGCGGCGCTGAAAGATCACTCCCCTTATAGTCTACTATACGGGTGTGAGCCGCTGCTGCCAGTGGGAGCAGCCCGCGTCCTCACAGACACGGTGACTGCAGGGACAATAGAGAACTGGGTGGCGCTGTCCGAGGCCAGGGCGAGATACCTCCGAGTGATGATGCCGGCGGCCTTAGAGAATCTTCACACCGCTCAGCTGCGGAATGCTCGGAGATATGAACAGAGGCAGCAGCAAGGGGCGGGGGGCAGACCCAGGAAGGGGGTGAGCACGGGACAGGAAGTGTACCTGAAGCGGGCAAAGCAAGACACGCTGGATGTTGGAGTGGGCGCGGAGAGGTGGAGGGTGAAGGAGGTCCGTCCCTCGGGGGTGTTGGTTCTGGAAAACGATACAGGGACACTCCTGAAGGAGCACCAGAGCAACACGGCCATGGTGAGGGGGAGCAAGCCTCACACAGGGGGTCCTGTGACTCGGGCCCAGGCAGCTAGAGCACGAGCACAGGAGGGGGCAGTGGGTGAGTGAGGCCGGGCATAAGGGAACAGGAAGAAACGGGAGAGCCGGCAGGAGCAGGACTAGGACAGGAAGAAGAGCAAGTGCAGGATGAAGAGCAGGGGCAGGAAGAAGAGCAGGTGCAGGATGAAGAAGAAGGTTCTCCGACAGCTGTCACTGCATATGCACGTGATGCATATGCAATAACAGTAGAAGGATGGAACAGGGTGGGCTTGACATGACAATGATAGGATGATGAGTTAGTTATATGTATGTGAAACAACAAGTAGGAATGGGTGTAGGGGGAACTATAGTTACTGTTGGGAAAGGGTGTAGAAGGGGGGAAATGGGATCGTGGCGGTTGGATTTGGGAGGGAAAGGGCCTCGACAGGCGAAACCTGCCAAAGCTGGTAACACCCCACCCGAGCCGCACATGTGGAAACGTGCAGCCTTGGGTGGGGTCATAAGCTGCTCCCTCCCATCCCCTCCTTGCTTTCTAGTGTGTAATTCTCTCGAACTAGTGAATCTGGTTGTCTCACGCTCTAGCACACGACAGCACGACACTAAGAGGGAACCTACGGGGTGGGGGACGATACACTTTCGTGGGTGAGTGAGGCCGGGCATAAGGGAACAGGAAGAAACGGGAGAGCCGGCAGGAGCAGGACTAGGACAGGAAGAAGAGCAAGTGCAGGATGAAGAGCAGGGGCAGGAAGAAGAGCAGGTGCAGGATGAAGAAGAAGGTTCTCTGACAGAGAGAGGGAAGAGTCAGCAGGGTCGGGCGGTGAGTTGCACTGGGCACATCACAAGGACTGGAAGACAAGAGGCGGCGAGGAGCTGGTACTTGTCGTAGCATCTAAATCCTGCCACCCATCCCCACCTGCTCCCACCCATCCCCATCTGCCTCCATCCCTCCCCACCTGGTATTTCTCGATCGCTCTCCGGTCCTCCTCGATAGTGGCTGTCTCCTGCTGCAAGTGCCGCGACACATAATCCCTTATCTCCCCCACCGTGATGTGCGGGTTGCGCGAAAGAGTCTAGATCGGGGCCAGATAAGTGGAGGAGAACAGAGAGGAGACGGCGGAGAGATGAAAAACGGCGAGGCATGTTGCCCCATAGTTGTTGAAATTTGAGAGAGACCCATTTTTGGCCGGTGTAATCTCGCCGAAACGATCATCAACCATCTCACCTGCAGAACCAGTAGCGGCGGCAGCAGGTTACCCCTCTCCACCGAACTCAACACCTCCGCCACCTCCTCCCCGCACGCCTCCCCCCGTTCCCCCAGATACCTCACAACGTCCGCCCACACACTCGGATCCCCCCCCCTCCCCGCGTCCCCCAGACGCTTGCACGCAGCAATCAGCCCCTTACTGTCGCCCTCCCTCATGTGCATCGCCAGGGCTTCTTTAAACAGCCGCATTCTCTCGTACAGGAATAATAACCCGTCTCTAAAGCCATGCACCTGGGAAGGGGGAGAGCAGAAGAGGGTGGGAGGAGATGAGGGATGGGAGGGAGAGTGGTGAGCAGCAATGAGCCCCTTGCTGTCGCCCTCCCGCATGTGCATCGCCAGGGCTTCCTTGAACAGCCGCATTCTCTCGTACAGAAAGATGGGTCCGGCCCTGAGAGCGTGTACCTGGGAAAGGGGAACGGGAGACGGGAGCGTGGGAGGAAGGGGACGAGGGGAGAAGCGAGGGAGGGGGTGAGGGAGGAGGCTGGGAAGGAGAGGAGAGGGAGGACGAAGGAGGGATCAAGGAGGATGCCTTTTGAGACGTCTCAAAAGGGATCAAGGAGGATGCAGTTGAAAAAAACTAACATCTAACACACATAAGCAAAATAATCAGTTACGACTGGTTGTATGCTAATCAATAGACGCTAAGGGCGTGTGTGATTTTATTCTAGGTTCGAGAAACAGGTCGACCTTTGTCTGGTTACCAGCTTCGTTAATTTCGCGAAAACTGTGTGACGAAAGACTTTCCCTTTGAACACATGGCAAATGCGACCTAACTTTTCCGAACTCGACTCGAGTGAATGCATGAATGTGGGCGCGTACAGTGAACCGAACGTGTGTTGTTTTGCGCACGTACGACGATTGACGAATATTGCGAAACCTCCGCGACGCAATAAAACCTCCGCCGAAAACCACAGTCAGTATGTTGACGTGGCGCGATGTCTACGGAATTATACCTGGTAACCTACATCCCCTACGAGCGGCTCGGTGCACCCCCTATAAGGTCGAACATCCAAATTCGACCTTGGGTGTGTGATTTGACGTACCTGAAAATGTTATGCGCGGTTCAAACTTCACGTTCAGCGGAAGTCGAACATTGTTCGGCTCAAGTTTAAATGCTTCATTCGACAAAAAAAATGTAAACTTTGCCAATTTCCAAAATCACACACGCCCTAAGCATACTTCCAACCAAAAAAAAAAAAAAAAAAAAAAAAAAAAAAAAAAAAAAAAACGCAATACTGGAGTTACTTATGAGTCTTCTTAAAGTGACTCCAATATGGCGAAAAACGAAAGAGAGGAGATGGGTTTGGAAGCACTGAACATATCACACGAATGCACGGACTACTCACCTGACACGTCAGCAGCGCCAGGTCAGCATCATAACGAGGAGCCGACTGCTGCTGCCAATAGGCTCGCAGCAACGCCCCCGCCTTGGCCAAGCAAGCTGCCCGGTCATTGCCCTCGGCATTTCTGGGAGACACAATCCCTCCCCTTCCACCACCACCCTCCCCGCTCGCTCCTGTTCCAGCAGCAGCAGCGGCGGCAGCAGCAGGAGGAGATGTGATGGAGGTGGGAGAAGGAGGGATGAATGAGGAGTTGGTTGCAGCACTGCTGTTGTTGCAGCTGTTGGCTGCTTCTATCTCTTTTTGCTGCCCGAGAAGCATCCTTCGTTCTGCCCAACGCACAGGGTCTGTCCGGGCAGAATCCCCCGAAAGAAACGAGCTGCCCATGCTATCAGTGCACGCAGGATCAGCAGCAGCGGCGGCAGCGGCGGCAGCTTTCAGAACTGACCCAAAGCTTGGAAGTTCAGAATCAGACGGAGAGGAAAGAGAATCCGACGGGAGGGAGGAGGAGGAGGATGGGAGGGAGGCTGAGGTCTCATAGCAGAGGTATAGCTCGAGGAGCGAATTAAGAACGTCTTTATGCCACGGGGAGTCTATCACCCTGTCTACATAGGCCTCTAGAAACTTCATCAGGCATCGTGGTTGGTCCACAAACACTGGGGCTAGTTCCATTGGTGACAGGTATTTTTGCTGCTGCCCGAGGTCCGTGATGCGGATTTTTGGCCCAGCGCTGCCGCTACCCGAACTGCCCGAACTGCCCGGGCTGCCCATGAGCCTGCCCGTGCCGGAAACGAGAGACTTTCGAAAGCTGGAAGAGCGAGGGGGGATGGCGACAGGTGCAACTGTTCCTCCTCCTCCTCCCGCTGCTGCTGCGGCTCCTCCTCCTCCTGCTGCTGCATCAGCAGCAGCAGCAGCGGAAGAGGCACCAGGGCTGGGGCGAGGAGAGGCAGATTCTCTGTTATCCCTAAACCGAGAGGGTCCCACTCCAGTTCCCCCTGAACCTTCCCCACCTGTTGAAACAGTCCCAACTCCCACCACCCCTCCTGCTCCCATCCCTCCTCCATCTCTGCTGCTGCCAAATCCTGTGCAGAGTTCTAAGAACAGAGAAATAGTTTCCTCGGGCAGGTGAGCCGCTAGCACTGGCCCGTATTCCCGGGCAGCCGAAACAATTTTCGCCCGGTCGGCGAGGGCGGAAATAAAAGCCAGCGAGTCCGCATAGCGGTGCAAATCTTCCACAAGGATTTTTAAGTAAGCGGAATGCTTAGCGGCGCGCTGAGCTACGAAGAGAGCTTGGTTGTAATACCCAGCGGAGCAGCAGACTTGGATCACCGTGTCGGGATCGTAAGGGAGGGCGGGAGAGGAGGAGGAGTGAGGGAGTGAGAGGGTGAGGGAGAGGGGGAGAGTGGAGGCAGAGGAGGGGGCAGATGAAGGCTTGGGTGTGCTTGTGGTTGGTGGTTCGATGGAGTGGGTATCGGAGGAGGGAGCATCGAAGCCGGCCCGAACAAAAGCATCCAGTTTTGAGACATCCTGGTGGGTGGGGGATGAGACAATGGTGCAAATGGGTGTGGAGGGATGGACAGGAGTGCAGTAAGAGACTGGTTGCGGTTGCTGGATCGATGGGGTGGGTGTCGGGAGGAGGGAGCATCGAAGCCGGCCCGAACAAAGGCATCCAGTTTCGAGACATCCTGGTGGGCGTGCATGAGAGGTGCAGATGGGTGTGGGAGGGATGCGCAGGAGTGGAGTGTGGGTGCATGAGAATGAGCGCTTAGAAACAAATGCATCCAGGTTAGAGTCGTCCTGGTGGGCGGGTATGAAAGAACGGTGCATATGGGTGTGGAGGGATGCGCAGGAGTGCAGTGCAGCATGAGTGAGTGCATGAGTGAGCATGAGAATTATGTGCGTGTAAGAGCCAAGGCATCCAGTTTGTGAGAGACGTTCTGGTGGGCATGCAGGTACCGGGCCAGCAGGGCGTTGAGGCGGCCTGCTCAGTGCTCTCGTGTGCTCCCAATTACCCACGCCAGGTACCCCACGAGCAGGGCGAGCTTGTGACCCACAGTCCCCGTCAAATTGATCCACTCACCTTGAGGCGCGAGAAGCAGTTGATGAGCAGGGTGGTGTGGTCTGGAGTGGCCACGGCCTTATCATGCAGCCGCTCCAAGTACCGCGCCAACAGGGCAAGCCTCTCCAACCGTATCTAACCCAGGTACACCACATTCCACTCACCTTGAGGCGCGAGAAGCAATTGACGAGCAGAGTGGTGTGGTCCGGCGTAGCCACGCCTTTATCGTGCAGCCGCTCCAGGTACCGCGCGAGCAGGCTCAACCTCTGAGCATGCAGGGCGAGCCTCTCTAACCCAGCACATTCCACTCACTTTGAGGCGCGAGAAGCAGTTGATGAGCAGGGTGGTGTGGTCCGGTGTGGCAACGCCCTTATCGTGCAGCCGCTCCAAGTACCGGACGATCAGCCCCGTGCTTTGACCCAGCACAACACAACCGAACCCGTGCTATTACCTTGAGGCGCGAGAAGCAGTTGATGAGCAGGGTGGTGTGGTCCGGTGTAGCCACCCCCTTATCGTGCAGCCGCTCCAGGTACCGGGCTAGCAGGCGCAACCTCTGGGCGTGCAGGTAGCGCTGAATCACGTATGACGGCTCCACCTGCCCGATCGTGCGCTCGTATTGCCCCATTGCCTCTTCATAGTCCTGTGGTGGGGAGGGTAGGGGAGAGAGGGGAGGTACCGGGCCAGCAGGGAGAGATTCTGGGCGTGCAGGTAGCGCTGAATCACGTAGGACGGCTCCACCTGCCCGATGGTTCGCTCGTACTGCCCCATTGCCTCCTCATAGTCCTAAAGTGAGTGTGCAGGTGGGGAGGGAAAAGGGAATACTGTATTCCTGAGGGCGTGCAGGTAGCGCTGAGTTGAGTTGAATCACGCATGACGGCTCCACCTGCCCGATTGTTCGCTCATACTGCCCCATCGCCTCCTCATAGTCCTGTCACGAGGGGGATGGGAGGGAAGCGGAAAGGACGCCAAGGGGGGAGGAGGAAGTGAGGGGAGGGGGGGAAAACACTGTGTTTCTGGAGGTACCAGGCGAGTAGGCTCAGCCGCTGGGCGTGCAGTGCAGGTAGCGCTGAATCATGTATGCCGGCTCCACCTGCCTTATGGTCCTCTCGTATTGGCCCATTGCCTCCTCATAGTCCTGCAGTCAGCAGAGGGGAGGGGAGGGGAGGGGGAGGGTAGAGGGCCAGCAGGCTCAAGCACTGGGCGTGCAGGTAGCGCTGAGTTGAATCACGCATGACGGCACCACCTGCCCCGATGGTCCTCTCGTACTGCCCCATTGCCTCCCCGTAGTCCTGCCACGAGGGGTGGGGGAGAAGAGTGGGTGGAAGGGAGAGGTAAGGGAAGGGAGAGGCGAGCTTGAATCAGGGATGACGGCTCCACCTGCCAGTTTTGAGACGTCTCAAAACAGATATGACGACTCCACCTGCCCGAGTACAAGCACACTCGCTCACAAACCCTTCCTGAACAGAACCCCTTCCATAGTAAGAGTGAAGTTTTGACATTCGTCTCAAAACTTCACTCGCCCTCATCTCAAAACTTCACTTGTATCAGTCCCTTCCTGAACAGAACCCCTTCTGTAGCAAGCACCCATTCAAGCCCAGCATCGCCCCCTTGAGACACCACCAAGTCCAGTGCACTGGAGTACAGCCCCATCCTGAGCAGTTCCTCTGAAACCTGTCCGCACCCATTCACACCCATTCACACCCATTCACACCCATTCACACCCATTCACATCCATTCACACCCATATCCCACCTGCTTTGCATACAGGTGGTCGCCGTATCTCCTTAAAACTTCAGCCGTGGCAGTAGCGTCCCCTCCCTGGGACACCACGAGGTCCAGCGCACTGGAGTACAAGCCCTTGCGGAAGAGCGCCTCCAGCTTCCACACGCGTATATCCACCTGCTTTGTGTGCAGCCCTTTTCAGGACAGAACCCCTGGCAGCCACACCCATGCCTCACCTGCTTTGTGTGCAGCCCTTTTCAGGACAGAACCCCTGGCAGCCACACCCATGCCTCACCTGCTTTGTGTGCAGCCCTTTTCAGGACAGAACCCCTGGCAGCCACACCCATGCCTCACCTGCTTTGTGTGCAGCCCTTTTCAGGACAGAACCCCTGGCAGCCACACCCATGCCTCACCTGCTTTGTGTGCAGCCCTTTTCAGGACAGAACCCCTGGCAGCCACACCCATGCCTCACCTGCTTTGTGTGCAGCCCTTTTCAGGACAGAACCCCTGGCAGCCACACCCATGCCTCACCTGCTTTGTGTGCAGCCCTTTTCAGGACAGAACCCCTGGCAGCCACACCCATGCCTCACCTGCTTTGTGTGCAGCCCTTTTCAGGACAGAACCCCTGGCAGCCACACCCATGCCTCACCTGCTTTGTGTGCAGCCCTTTTCAGGACAGAACCCCTGGCAGCCACACCCATGCTTCACCTGCTTTGTGTGCAGCCCTTTTCAGGACAGAACCCCTGGTAGCCACACCCATGCCTCACCTGCTTTGTGTGCAGCCCTTTTCAGGACAGAACCCCTGGCAGCCACACCCATGCCTCACCTGCTTTGTGTGCAGCCCTTTTCAGGACAGAACCCCTGGCAGCCACACCCATGCCTCACCTGCTTTGTGTGCAGCCCTTTTCAGGACAGAACCCCTGGCAGCCACACCCATGCCTCACCTGCTTTGTGTGCAGCCCTTTTCAGGACAGAACCCCTGGCAGCCACACCCATGCCTCACCTGCTTTGTGTGCAGCCCTTTTCAGGACAGAACACCTGGCAGCCACACCCATGCCTCACCTGCTTTGTGTGCAGCCCTTTTCAGGACAGAACCCCTGGCAGCCACACCCATGCCTCACCTGCTTTGTGTGCAGCCCTTTTCAGGACAGAACCCCTGGCAGCCACACCCATGCCTCACCTGCTTTGTGTGCAGCCCTTTTCAGGACAGAACCCCTGGCAGCCACACCCATGCCTCACCTGCTTTGTGTGCAGCCCTTTTCAGGACAGAACCCCTGGCAGCCACACCCATGCCTCACCTGCTTCGCATACAGATGATCGCCATATCGTCTCAAAACTTCAGCCGTGGCAGCAGTGTCCCCTCCCTGGGACACCACGAGGTCCAGCGCACTGGAGTAGAGCCCCTTGCGGAACAGCGCCTCCAGCTTCCACGCCATGTCCCTCTCCACCAGCAATAATCCCCTCGCCTCCACCCGCCCTGCCCCCCCTCCTCCTGCTGCTCCTCCTCCTGCCCCTCCACCTGTTACGCCTCCGCCGCCTCCTCCCCCTGCTGAAGCCCCTCCTCCTGAAACCCCTGCTCCTGACACCCCTCCTGCATCTCCTCCCCCTCCCCCATCTCCTCGCCTGTGTAGGGAGAGCAGCACCACGGCGCCTCCCTCACACAGCAGCAGAAGGGGCGCGAGGAGAGAGGCGGCGGGGGTGAGCGGCGCACTGTGCACCACCAGCTTGTTGCGCGTGTCATATACAGACAGCACCATTTTCTGCTGCTGCTGCTGATGCTGCTGGTGGTGATGCTGCTGGTGGTGCTGGTGCTGCTGGTGGTGCTGGTGCTGCTGGTGTTGCTGCTTTCCAGACTCCCCACCGCCGCTGCCACCACCGCCGCTGCCACCGCTGCCGCCACCACCACCGGTTGTTGTCGGGCCAGCAGCAGCAGAGGCAGCAGAGGCAGCAGGGGAGGGCGGCGAGTGCAGGCAGAGCAGATAGCCTCGCAGGCAGGCGAGGCGGTGCTTGGGGCCGTCCAGCCCAAAGCACGCCCCCGGCCCATCCTCGTTGAAACAATAGAATGCCTCTGGACGTGCAACCACCAGGTCCTGATGGGTAGTGTAGGGGAGGGAAGGAGATGCAAGAGAGAAGGATAAGAGACAGCATCAGCAGCAGAGGCAGCAGCAGCAGCAGTGGGAGTGGGAGCAGAGGCAGCAGAGGCAGCAGGGGAGGGCGGCGAGTGCAGGCAGAGCAGGTAGCCTCGCAGGCAGGCGAGGCGGTGCTTAAGGCCGTCCAGCCCAAAGCACGCCCCCGGGCCATCCTCGTTGAACCAGTAGAATGCTTCTGGACGTGCCACCACTAGGTCCTGATGGGGTTGTGGGAAGAGGATACAAGAGAGAGAGTGTGTGTATGTGAGGGGTACCAGAGAGAAGGATAAGGATGAGCCCAAATCACGCCCCCGGGCCATCCTCGTTGAAACAGCAGAATGCCTCTGAGCTCGCCACCACCAGGTCCTGAGAGGTGGGGAGAGAGAGGGGTGCACGAGAGATGAGGGATGAAAACCGCCGGGCCATCCTCGTGCACGAGAGCCGTGCAAAGGAAGGGAGAGTGGCCAAATCACGCCCCCGGGCCATCCTCGTTGAAACAGCAGAATGCCTCTGAGTGCGCCACCACCAGGTCCTGATGGGGTTGTGGGGAGAGGTGTATGAGAGAGAGAGAGCGTGTGTATGTGTAAGGGGTACTAGGGAGAAAGATAAGGATGAGCCCAAAGAACCCCTCCCGGGCCATCCTCGATGAAACAGTAGAAGGCTTCTGGACGTGCAACCACCAGGTCCTGCGAGGTGGAGGAGGAGGGATGAACGAAAAAGAGAGAGAAGATTGTTGGGGCATGGAACAGGCAGTGCAAAGGCAGGGAGAGAAGGGCCACCCTCGTTACAAAGCAAGGAAGAAGGCAGGAGCAGGGAGCACTCTCACACCCACCTTCACTCACCCTCACTCTCCCTCGTTGACCTCACTCGCCCTCACTCACGCTCACTCACGCTCACTCACGCTCACTCACGCTCACCTGAGTATCAGTCATGGCAGAGCAAAACACATCCCCTCCCCTCTCCTCCAGCACCACCCCCCACCCTCCTCCCCCTCCCCCTCCTCCTCCCCTCCCCGCCCACCCTCCCTCCGCTGCAGCCCCAAACATGCCACTGGGAAGAGTGTACAGTGTGACTGTCTCCCCCGTGACTATAAAGAGCTGTGGGCCCGAATCCAGGATCCTGAACCCCAGCCCTGTGACTGCAACGGGGGGGAGATTTTCGGCAGTTGAAGCCAAAGCAGAGGCAGAGGTAGAGGCATAAGGGGCAGGGGGTGAGGAGGATGGGGAATGATCACTACTCCCTCCTGCTCCTAGTCCTGCTGCTGCTATACCTCCTCTCCCTTCCCCAGCACCCAGCGCATCTCCTCCCCTTCCCCCTCCTCCTCCGCCTTCCCCCGCCCCCTCTCCTCCTGCTCCTGCCCCCACTCCACCTGCTCCCCCAATCCCGCCTTGCCCCTGGCTGCTGTTGGGGGGGATTCTCAGCCGTTTGATCCGCATGGAGGAATCTGCTAGGAGCACATCGACGGCTCCTGTGGCCAATCCAACGGCCAGGAGGTAGCCTAGCTGTGGCGCCTCGCGGATGGCACAGGCTGTGATCTGAATGCATGAGGAACGGGGGGGATGTGACACTGGTTAATTGTTTTCCCAGGGTAGGAAGGGCATGGGCTAAAAGAGGGGCGACGTGGGTTGGGTGGTTAAAGGGTGGGCCACGGAGGAAGGGTGGGCACATCTTTGCAATCTGTAGTTAATCCAATGGTCAGGATGGATTGTCTATGATTGGACACAGGATGCTGGTTTTGCCCTAGTACTTACTCTCTCACTCAATCACTCTCTCTCACACGCATGCACTCGCTCACATGGTGACTCATGCATTCACACTCACTCACACACGCATTCACTTACTCACTCGCTCACACACTCACATTCACTCACTCGTTCCCACACACGACATGGCCACCCACAACCAATCTACAAAATCACCTGTGCGGCAGGAAACGCGTCTGAGAAGATGTTAAAAGTCCGCATAAGGGCAGGTGCGCCTCCTTCCGCTGCTGCTGCACCTGAAGCACCTGAAGAAACACCTGAAGCAGCAGCCTTGTCCAGGTCCCACAGCACCACTGCTGCTCCCCTTGCCTCCTTGCCCACCGTCAACAGACAGCTGCGTTGCTGCAGACAGAGAAGGGGGGTAGAGGGGGGAGCCAGAAAGAAGGGGGGAGGAAGGGGGGGAGGGTGAGGGGGGGAGGGTGAGGGGGGAAGGGTGAGGGGGGGAGGGGAAAGGGGGGTTGAGAGCAGGAGCAGCAGTTTTGCCTCCAGGTCCCACAGGCACAGCACAGCATCACTGCTTCTCCCCTCGCCTCCTTGCCCACCGTCAACAGACAGCTGCGTTGCTGGGAGTAGGAGAAGGGGGGGAGGGTGAGGGGGGGAGGGTGAGGGGGGGAGGGTGAAGGGGGGAGGGTGAAGGGGGGAGGGGGAAGAGGGGGTTTGAGAGCAGCAGCAGCAGTCTTGTCGAGGTCCCACAGGCACAGCACAGCATCACTGCCGCTCCTCTTGCTTCCTTGCCCACTGTCAGCAGACAGCTGCGTTGCTGCAGGCGGAGGGGTGGGGGGAAGAGAGAGGGGGGAGGACGTGAGGATTATAAGAATAAGAATGTTACAAAAGGTGGACGTCAGGAGCGTTACCTGAAGAGGATGTCAGGATGTTACCTGAAATGGATGTCAGGATGTTACCTGAAATGGATGTCAGGATGTTACCTGAATTGGATGTCAGGATGTTACCTGAAATGGATGTCAGGATGTTACCTGAAATGGATGTCAGGATGTTACCTGAAATGGGTGTCAGGATGTTACCTGAAATGGATGCCAGGATGTTACCTGAAATGGATGTCATGTCAGGATGTTACCTGAAATGGATGTGATAATGTTACCTGAAATGGAAGGCAGTATGTTACCTGAAGTAGATGTCAATCAAGTGGGAACAGATCATGCAGAAACAGCAGCCAAAAACCTATGTTTTAATATTGAAGACCTATGAAGGCCCAGTCTCACTTTGAACAGGTGTAGAAACGCCACGGGGCCTTCATGAGCCACGAAGCTTCGCCGAACCTGCAGCGACCGATCTAGCAACAGCACCGAGCCGCTCTCCGTGCCAACGGCTAGTCGGCCTCGACCTCCCGCGCCGCACCGCACGCCCTGCGCGAGCGCGTCAGCTAGCGGCCCGACGGGCGAGCGGTCCTCGAAGAACTGGAAGCGACGCCACTGATTCATGGCGACCAGAGTGGCTTGGAGTGGCGACCAGGGTTGAGTGGCGACAAGTGGATGAAATAATAGATCCCACTAAATGATCAATGGTTCATGGGATCAGACCGGCCCAGTATGCTTCAAATTACTTCGCCAGTAGTTCTAGTTCAGGCTGAAACCTTTTTGAGAATGAATGTTAGTTGGAGAATCGGAGGTTCAACCCGTTGACCAATTAGCGTCGGAGGTGCACTAGCCAGCGCACGAATGTGCGTTTCGGAATCGTCTGTGAATGCCTAGGTGACTAGGTCCGTATCACCGCCATAATGACACTGACGTTTCCATAACTGCATTTGAATCCTATCGCCTAGCCTAGCACAACCTAAAAAGTTGTCAGAAGTAATTGGGTCACAGAAATTGGTTTCTGTCCTGTACTCGATATGCTTGATGGCCGAGGAGGTTCCGCAAAGTCACCTACAGTCGAGAACCTATCAATAGACATGACCTACAATGTACAGAGAGCAATTATAGAAAAGGTACAAATTTCGCTTTTTGAGACCCTAACAACACATTCATCTAAAAGAGCCACCTGCTTCGGATGAGGACCCGTGTTGAGGCGAATAATGCACATAGTCGCCAATAAATCTATCAAGCGGCAATTCCATCCCATAAAGCGGTACGCCAACAGTGGAGGAAACACCTTGTTCTTGCCGCCCCAGGCCAAAATACCCCTCTTGATAATCCATTGCAAGCGACGCGCCATCGGCAAAAGGGTCGGAGGGTAAATGCTCGCCACCACCGCAATTACCCTGTACCAAATTCTCACCACCTACGTCACAATTACCCTGTGAATTGCGCCGTGAGTGGCCAATAGGATCCATTCCTCCGCCCATTTGATTGGCCACCATCCCTCCGCTGCTGTGCACCCCATTACTGTGCATAAAACGCTGGTTATAAAGTGTACGCCTGTCATCAGGGTAGTTAGGTGAATATCCCTGACTTTGGTGGTTATGAGGGTGATAATGGCTGTGGCTATGGTGGTCTTGATGATGGGGGTGAGCATAAGCCGAGGACCCATTACTCGATATAGTCACATGACTGTTGTGTCCTCCACTCATTACAGTTCCACGACCACTGGCAACACCAGCAGCCATAACCACACGATCGAGGGGAGTAAGGACAGTAGGAGCTTCATTAGCAGCACCAGCAGGAGCAGCAGCAGGACCAGCAGAAGCAGGACGAGCCTCAGAAAGAAAGGCAGAAAAAGCAGGTGCAGCAGGAGCAGCAGGAGCAGAAGGAGACGAAACCATGTAACCTGGTAACACCGGCTGCGACAGCGAGAGGCTAAGGAACCCCCCGGACCTCAGGTGATGTGCCAGGTTCACCGAACCTGGCCTGGCGTCCGAAGCCACCTCTAGGTCCGACGCTGCCGAAGCTGATCGCCGAGGCTGCGGTCGCTGGCCAATCACGTTCCCCCCAGCAAAACCCGCCCGGCCTGGCGAAAATCCTCTGGATAAGGGAGATGCTGACGTGGCGAGAGACGACCCTAGCCCTTGCTTGAAGACCACTTCGATCTGAGAGTCTAGATGGAGGAGCTGGATGAAGGTTTGAAGGAGAGTGGCAACCTCCCATGCATCTTCACTGCTCACTGAACCTTTTGCACTGCCCGCACTTGCAAATCTTTCTGCCCCTGCTGCCCCTGCCGCAGCCCCTGCCGCTGCCCCTGCTGCTGCTGCCCTTGCCGCTGCTGCTGCGGCTGATGCTGCTGCAGCAGGGGAAGCGGCGGGGGAGAGAGAAGGAGATGCGGAGGCAGAGGCACTAGCACCAGCAGAAGCAGAGAACGGTGGGAGCCCAAACCCAGACGCACCAGGGAAAGCAGCAGCAGCAGTGGCAGGAGGAGGAGGAGCAGCAGCAACAGTGTGGCTGGTGGTACCAGTGCTGGTGGTGCCAGTGCTGCTGCTCAGCATGCTGATTCCTGTGCGGCTGCTGCTGCTGCTGCCGCCGCTGCTATTACCCGCGCTTCTGCTTCTGCCGCCCGCGCTGCTGCTACGAATTGGAATCTGGTCGTCAGACACGGGCGGCCAGGTGTGTCTGTAGTGGTTGATGTGCCCCAGTTGATGATGCTCCACAGGGGACTGGCCCTGTTGACCTAATTGACCCAGCTGACCAGGATGGACCTGTTGACTTGGTTGACTTGGGTATTCCTGGTCAGCTTGACCCTGCGAAGCAGGAGGAGTGGAAACGCCTGGTTGACTCCATTGACCCAAGTGACCAGGCGGATTTAGATTGCCCGGTTGACTCCATTGACCTGGCTGACCGGGCGGAGTTGAGACCCCTGGTTGACTCCATTGACTGGGAGGACCGGGAGAGAGCCGGGCCATCCAGGGCTGGTGGTGTTGGTGGGCGAGGTGGAGAGGCAGGTCGAAGAAGGAAGGCTGGGGAGGGGAGTAGAGGGACGGAGGGAGATGCGGCAGAGGGGACTGCCTGGCATGAGGGGACTGCCTGTCATGCGGAGACTGCTTGTCACTGTTTTCGTTAAGGCTCATATGTGGGTTCCCGCCGCCGCCGCCGCCGCTGCCGCCGCTGCTGATGGTACCACTGCCGCTACCGCCCCCGCCGCCGCTGCCGCCACTGCTGATGCTGCCGCTGATGTTGCCGCTGCCGCGTTGTACAAAGCCTTGCAAGCTGTTCTGAGGGGTGTGTGCCTTCGCATTTGGGCTGTACTCTCTGCCTGCTTCTCTGGCACCAGCTGGGTTCTGCTGCGGGCCCAAGATGAAGGGTTGCCAGGACGGCTCTTGGAAGAGTGCAGAGGGTGCAGAGGATGCAGAGTGTGCAGAGGATACAGAGTGAGAAGTGGTCCCATTGGCACTGTCACCCTGTGCGTTCCTGTGAATCAAATGCTGCTGCTGCTGCTGCTGTTCGTGACTATGCACATGCCAAGCAGGCACGACAGGGTATTGCAGGCTGCTGTAGGAAATTTCTATTTCTTTCTCATGCGATCTGCTCACCTGCCCCTCTGCAACTGCAACTGCTTCTGCTGTTGCTACTTCTGCTGCAGCTGCTGCTGCTGGTGCTTCTGCTGCTGCTGCTGCTGCTTCCAGCACTGCTGCTGGTGCTGCCGCTGTCTCAACTATCGCTGCCTCTCCTGCTGCTGTCTCCCTTGCAGCTGCTGCCACTGTCTCCCCTGCTTCTGGGTCGCCCTTCATCCCACCAGACCCTGCTATGCCCAGCTGCGCTGCTGGCGCTGCAGCATGCACATCAGTACGATTATCACCACCAGTATCACCTGCACCGATAGCACCAGCAGCGCCAATTGCACCACCAACATCACCAATAGCATCAGCAGCAGCATCACCAGAGCCAGAAATTTGCTGCTCTCGTCGCTTTCGCTCCGCCTTATTCTCCTCTTCGTCCTCTTCCTCCTCCTGCTGCTCTTCCATCTCCTGCTCCTGCTGCCGTTTTCCATGCTGCACTACTTCTTCCTGCCCTAGTTCCTCCGGCCCTGTTTCTTGCTGCTGCAGATGAACTGAATGTTTCTTCTTTTTTTTCTTCTTGGGCGTTTTCACAGGGGAGGGGAGCGGCCGTGCCTGCTGCTCTGCTGCCCAAGTGTCTCCTAATCCCACTGTGCTTGATGTGCTGTTAGAGACAGGGGTGTTGGCATGACTCGACACAGGGGTACTGGCACGGCTGGACTTGCCCTGGCTGCGGGATTGAGAGCCTTCAACAACAACACCCGCTACTGAGCCTGCTACTGTGGCTTCTGCTGCTGCTCCTGCTGCTCCTTCTGCTGCCCCTCCCTCTGCTGCTGATGCTCCTGCTCCTCCTTCTGCTGCTCCTCCTTCTGCTGCTTCTATTTCTGCTGCTGCTGCTGTTCCTTCTGATGCAACTCGTGCTGCTTTTTCTACTGTCACCTCCATTGTCCTGAATTCGGTTCCTCTCATACCATCACAGCTCGATACAGTCACCCCAGCTGTTGCCTGCACTGCTGTAGCCTCTGCTGCAGCATTTTTATGCCGAGGAGTCACCTTCCCTGACTTCCCCTGCTTGCTGTGCTTTCCTCCCTTCCCCTCAACACCTCCCTCTCTGCCTTTACCCTCCCCTACTCCCTCTCTACCTTGAACCTCCCCCATCCCCTCCCTACCTCCGTTGCCCTCCGCTCCTCCCTCTCTACCTTTACCCTCCCCTGCTCCCTCTCTTGCTTGAACTTCCCCAATCTCTTCCTTCACGATCTTCCCCTCCTTTTGCTCCTCTTTCTCCACCTTCCTACCCTGCCGTGGAGTCTTAACCTTTTTCACCACCTCTCCTGTGCTCTTCAGCCCAACAGGCCATACTGAATCTTCCTCACCTCCTGCTCCCCCTCCCCCTCCTCCTCCTTCTCCTGCTCCTGTTATTGATGGTGGCACTGCTGCTTCTCCTGCTGTTTGTGTTGGCGGCGAGGGTTTGGGTGCTGCTGCTGCCCTCTCTCCCCTTGGTGCCCCCAACCCCTCTTCACCCACCTTCCTCCCTTTGTGGTCAAGCCAAGCCCCGTCACCACCATTTCTGCCAGCCTCGAGCGAACTCGCACCACCACCATCCAACACCCCATCAGTATTCACCAAACGCACTCCCTCCTTGCTACCCTCTTCCCTTTCCCATCTCTCTGCTCCCTCTTCCCCCTCCCCTTCCTCCGGTCCCTCTTCCTCCACCCCACTCTCCTTCCCTCCGGAGCTTTTGTCTTGAATGACACTGTCGCCTGATGCTGGATGGCATAATTTTTCCAGATCTGGAAGACGCGGGGACTGAGGGAAACAGGGAGAAAGGGTAAGAAGGGGGGAAGAGAGATGAAGATGACATGACGGAGGGAGAAAGAAGACAAGAGAAAGATGACGGAAGGTAAGGACGTTGCAGGTAGCTGAGGAGAACATCCCTTCCCATCCCACCGCATCCCATCCCATCCCATCCCATCCCATCCCATCCCATCCAATCCCATCCCATCCCATCCCATCCCATCCCATCCCATCCCATCCCAACCCAACCCATCCCATCCCATCCCATCCCATCCCATCCCATCCCATCCCATCCCATCCCATCCCAACCCAACCCATCCCATCCCATCCCATCCCATCCCATCCCATCCCATCCCATCCCATCCCATCCCATCCCATCCCATCCCATCGCATCGCATCCCACCACATCCCACCGCATCCCACCGCATCACACACCTTCATTTTCTCCGTCTTCTTCCGACTCTTCTTCTTCCTCCCGGACTTGCCTTTACCACTGCTCTCTGCACACAAAGAAAAGGCACAGAGAATGCAGTGGGCAGAAGTGTATTTCACTCGATTCAACAAACGATTGTGTTTCGACACAATCAAAATGAGAATGAGAAAACCAAACACGCATGGAGAACAAAACAACTGCAGATTCTCAAAGCCCAAGGGCTCTCACTTGGCCCGCGCGCGCCACGGGCCCATCAATGAACAATAAAAGGCCATCCCCCAACCGTTCATCCATCCACCAATCGCTCCTTGTGGCTCCTCTGAATCACCTCTCTTTTTGTGCCTCTGCATCGCCTCCTCCGTGTGCCTTTCGAGTCTACTCAAAAGCAAAGGCCCAGAACCTCACCTCCCCCATCGATGGACGATAAAAGGTCATCAACCAATCCCTCCTTCTGGTGCCTGTGCATCGCCTTTAAAGTAAACTCAAAGCCCAAACCTTTGAACCTCACCTCCCCCATCGATGAACGACAGAAGGTCGTCCACTGATCGCCCATCCACCAATCGCTCCTTATGGTGCCTGTGCATCGCCTCCCGCACCCCCAATCTAAACCCATCGCACTCACTCACCACCTCCCCCATCGATGAACGATAGAAGGTCGTCCACTGATCTCTCATCCACCGACCGCCCATTCTGCCTGTGCATGTTACGACGGAGCACCCAATCTAAACGCAACACTGCGCGCACTCACTCACCTCCCCCATCGATGAATGATAAAAGGTCATCCACCGATCTCTCATCCACCAATCGCTCCTTGTGGTGCCTGTGCATCGCCTCCCGCAACCCTCCACTCTCCCTGCCCTTCCTCTCCGTCTCCTTCTCCCCTCCCCTCCCTCCCTCCTTCTCTCTGCTTCTCCTCTCGCCGCCTTGAGACCTCCCTCCCCTTCCTTCCTCCTCCTCGCTTTCGTCCTCTTGAGGGTGACTCGTCGAGTGTGTGTGCTCCTGACAGACAGTAAAGGCAGAGAGAGAAACAATCACGAGCCACAGACACTGCTTAGAGCCTTCCCTCCTCCTCCTTGCCCTTCCTCGTCCTCCTGAGGGTGAGGGGCCCACGTGTGTGTGTGCTACTGAGGAACAACTTTTGAGGCGTCTCAAAAGTTCTCGTCCTCTTGAGGGTTAGGGCCCACGTGTGTGTGCTCCTGAGGAACAGTCAAAGGCAGAAAGAATAAAAAATTACAAAGGACAGGACAGGAGGAGCAACCCAAACAAATAGCACTGAACTTCCTCTCTCCTCGATGCCATAAGCAATTTCTCTTCCGACTCATAAACGCACCTTCTTCCTCAGGAGGTCCTTCCTCTTCTTTGCGTACAGCGATTTCAGCAACAGGGTCGTGCGCGAGATATGTTCACAGGCACAGGCATACATACAGGCACACATACGGGCACAAAGGTCACTCTAGTCACTTGTGTGTGTGTACCTTCTTCCTCAGGAGGTCCTTCCTCTTCTTTGCGTACAGACGGTTCAGCAGCCGAATGCGAGGATCATCCGTGCCGCTCCTTACTGGCTCCAGCTTCTCCTCCTGTTGTCACAAATGGTTAAACGGGTGAGAAAAGGGGGAGAAGGTGGGGAGGAAAAGTTGAAGGGAGGGGAGAATGGAGAGGGGAGGCGTAAAGGAGAGTCATCTCAGCAGCCGAATGCAAGGGTCATCCGAGCCGCTCCGCACCGGCTCCAGCTTCTCCTCCTGTGGTCACAATGGGAGGGACGGGGGGGGGGAGGAAGGAGGGCGGAGTGGGTGGAAAGGAGTAAAGGAGAGTCATAACAGCCGAATACGCGGGTTGTCTGTCCCGCTCCGCACCAGCTCCAGCTTCTCCTCCTGTGGTTACAATGGGGAAGGGGAAGGATGGGGGGGGAGGGGGGATGGGGGAAGAGAGGGTTACAGCCGGTTCAGCAGGCAAATGCGCGGATCACCTGTACCACTCTGTACCGGCTCCAGCTTCTCTTCTTGTGGTTACATGTGACAGGGGAGCGGGAGGATGAGAGGTGGAGGGAAGCGGGGGAGGGAGGGGAAAGAAGAGGGGCCCGAAGGAGGGGGTGTAGGCACGAAGAATCACACCAACATGAGACATCCGAATCCGAATCACACCAATAACAAAATACATAATTGATCCATCCAATCCAAATTCCCAGATTATCAGCGCCGTTCGTTACGGGCTCTATGAAATGAATAATTGGTGCCTCCTTCCGCCTTCCCCACCCACCTACGCACGCACGCACCCACACACGCACCCACCCACGCACACAAGCACACCCACGCACCCACGCAAGCACCACCCAACCACGCACATCTGACAAAGTATTTGGAAGGTGAAAAGTATATCGAATCTCCTCTGGCGACTTGCCCTCTATCAGCCGCGCCAGTGATCTGCCTGTGAGGTCCACCAGAGGCTTCATTTGAGCTCCAAGTACCAGCCCATTTTCTCTACCACACACGCACCTCTGTCAAGTCATGGCCCACATTCTTTCCCCACCCCACCCAACAACCAACCTCCGTGAGATCATCCGGAAGGTGACAAGTCTCTCTGATCTCCTCTGGCGACTTGCCCTCTATCAGCCGCGCCAGTGATCTGCCTGTGAGGTCCACCAGAGGCTTCATTTACTTCCCCCCAGTGCCAACCAACCAACCATTCTTCTTTCCCTTTCTCCCCATTCCCACCCACACACCACGCACCTCTGTTAGATCATCCGGCAGATGAAAATTCTCTCTGATCTCCTCGGGCGCCTTGCCCTCTATCAGCCTCGCGAGTGCTCTGCTCGAGAGGTCCACCAGCCAGGGGCTTCATTTGAGATCCAGGTAGCAACCGTCTATGACCCCCCACGCACCTCTGTCAAATCATCCGGCAGGTGGAACGTCTCTCTGATTTCTTCGGGCGATTTGCCCACTATCAGCCGCGCCAGTGCTCTGCTAGTGAGGTCCACCGGAGGCTTCCCCGATGCTCCCATCCAAACACTGCCAATCCCTCTCTCATACATGCACGCACCTCTGTCAAGTCATCCCGCAGATGAAAAGTTTCCCTCATCTCCTCAGGAGACTTGGCCTCTATCAGCCGCGCCAGCGCCCGGCCCGTGAGATCCACCAGAGTCTTCCCTTACTCCCCCCGGGTATTACACACCAACCCCTCTCCCCACTCACGCACCTCTGTCAAGTCGTCTGGCAGGTGAAACGTCTCTCTGATCTCCTCAGGAGACTTGGCCTCTGGCAGCCGCGCCAGCGCCCGGCCCGTGAGGGGACTGACTGAACCAAGGCTTCCCTCACTCCCCCCAGGCACCAACCCTTCTTCTCCCCCACCCACCCACGCACCTCTGTGAGGTCATCCGGCAAGTGAAACCCTAAACTTCTCTCTGATCTCCTCAGGAGACTTGCCCTCTACCAGCCGCGCCAGAGCTCTGCTTGTGAGGCCCACCAGAGAGGCTCGGTTAGATCTCTTCCAGGTACCAAACCCCGTTGCCCCACCCCACCCTCTACCCCCCCACCCCACACCACGCACCTCTGTAAGGTCGTCTGGAAGGTGAAATGTCTCTCGGATCTTTTCAGGTGATTTGCCCTCTATCAGCCGCGCCAGTGCTCTGCTAGTGAGGTCCATCAGAGGCTTCCCTTAATTACCGAAGCTACCACACAACAACCCTTCTCCCCCACCCACTCACGCACCTCTGTCAAGTCGTCTGGCAAGTGGAACGTCTCTCTGATCTCTTCAGGTGACTTGCCCTCTATCAGCTGCGCCAGTGCCTGGCTTGAGAGGTCAACCAGAGGCTTCCCTGAGGCCCAAACTACTGCCAATCCCTCTCTCATACATGCACGCACCTCTGTCAAGTCGTCTGGTAGATGAAAAGTCTCCCGAATCTCCTCAGGCGACTTGGCCTCTATCAGCCGCGCCAGCGCCCGGCTAGTGAGGTGGACTGTCCCCCCATCTTCCCCCACATCTTACCCAACCCACCCACCTCTGTGAGGTCATCCGGTAAATGAAACGTCTCTCTGATCTCCTCGGGTGACTTGCCCTCTATTAGCCGCGCCAGCGCCCGGCTAGTGAGGTGGACTGTCCCCCCATCTTCCCCCACATCTTACCCAACCCACCCACCTCTGTCAGATCATCCGGTAAATGGAACGTCTCTCTGATCTCTTCAGGCGACTTACCCTCTATTAGCCGCGCCAGCGCCCGGCTAGTGAGGTGGACTGTCTTCCTCTCTTCCCCCCCACCTCTTACCCCACCCATCCACCCACCCACCCACCCACCCACCCACCAACCACCTCTGTGAGGTCACCTGGCAAGTGGAACGTCTCTCTGATCTCCTCAGGTGACTTGCCTTCTATCAGCGTGCCATCGCCCGGCTCGTGAGGTGGACTGTCTTCCTCTCTTCCCCCCCACCTCTTACCCCACCCATCCACCCACCCACCCACCCACCCACCCACCAACCACCTCTGTGAGGTCACCTGGCAAGTGGAACGTCTCTCTGATCTCCTCAGGTGACTTGCCTTCTATCAGCGTGCCATCGCCCGGCTCGTGAGGTGGACTGTCTTCCTCTCTTCCCCCCCACCTCTTACCCCACCCATCCACCCACCCACCCACCCACCCACCCACCCACCCACCCACCAACCACCTCTGTGAGGTCACCTGGCAAGTGGAACGTCTCTCTGATCTCCTCAGGTGACTTGCCTTCTATCAGCGTGCCATCGCCCGGCTCGTGAGGTGGACTGTCTTCCTCTCTTCCCCCCCACCTCTTACCCCACCCATCCACCCACCCACCCACCCACCCACCCACCCACCCACCCACCCACCCACCCACCCACCCACCAACCACCTCTGTGAGGTCACCTGGCAAGTGGAACGTCTCTCTGATCTCCTCAGGTGACTTGCCTTCTATCAGCGTGCCATCGCCCGGCTCGTGAGGTGGACTGTCTTCCTCTCTTCCCCCCCACCTCTTACCCCACCCATCCACCCACCCACCCACCCACCCACCCACCCACCCACCCACCCACCCACCCACCCACCCACCCACCAACCACCTCTGTGAGGTCACCTGGCAAGTGGAACGTCTCTCTGATCTCCTCAGGTGACTTGCCTTCTATCAGCGTGCCATCGCCCGGCTCGTGAGGTGGACTGTCTTCCTCTCTTCCCCCCCACCTCTTACCCCACCCATCCACCCACCCACCCACCCACCCACCAACCTATACCTGTGCAAAGGGGCGAGCCGAGTAATGCTCGACTCGTCCCTAGCCTTGCTCGGCCGAGTACGAGCCCGAGTCGAGTAATACTCGACCGAGCATTTTTACACCAAACAGAAACTCGTTACTCGCCTTATAAAAGGGAACTCGGGCGAGCATTTAGAAAAGCTCGTCCGAGTACGAGTAATACTCGGCCATGTGCCCTACTCCTGCATAGAACGACTCTGTACATAACAACTAGTGAAGGCCATTGGTACCACGGAAGTATTGGGGTTTCCAGGGCCGCCCAGGTAAACCCAAGGTGGTCCCAGGAAGCCTAGGGAAGCCCAGGAAAGCCCTGGGTTGTCCTGGGTAGCCCAGGGTAGCCTTGGGTTGTCGCGGTAAGCCCATGGAAGCCTGCTTAGACCTGGGTAGACGAGTACTCGTCGAGCAAAAAAAACTCGGCGAGTAAAACTCGGCTCGACTCGCCCGAGTAAAATTTACAAAAACCGAAACTCGTTACTCGCACCCAAACGAGTAACTCGGGCGATACCGAGCGAGTAACTCGTCTCGTTGCACAGGTATACACCAACCTACCGCTGTCAAGTCATCTGGCAAGTGAAAAGTGAAAAATCTCCCGAATCTCTTCAGGTGATTTACCCTCTATCAGCCGCGCCAGTGCCCTGCTCGTGAGGTCCACCAGAGGCTTCATTTACTCCCTCCCAAGTACCACACACCAACCCTTCTCCCCACAGACCAACCTACCTCTGTAAGGTCATCTGGAAGGTGAAACGTCTCTCTGGTTTCCTCTGGCGACTTGCCCTCTTTTAGCCGCGCCAGTGCCCGGCTCGTGAGGTGACTGATCCCCCCCACCCCCCGCTCACTCCCCACAGGCCACACACCTCTGTGAGGTCGTCCGGAAGGTGAAACGTCTCCCTAATCTCTTCAGGCGACTTCCCCTCTATCAACCGCGCCAGTGCCCTGCTCGTGAGGTCCACCAGAGGCTCCGTTATAGCTCCAGTACCAAACCCCTTTCATCCACCACCCACCCACCCCACCTTCTCACCTCTGTCAAGTCATCAGGAAGGTGAAACGTCTCTCTGATCTCTTCAGGCGACTTCCCCTCTATCAACCGCGCCAGTGCCCTGCTCGTGAGGTCCACCAGAGGCTTCATTTGAAGCACATCCGCCGCTGACGTCAGCTCGCATAGCCTCCTCGGGTCCACACGAACAAACTTCTCGTCGAATAGCCTCCTCTCCTGTGAGGGGGAAGGGAGGGGTTGTGGAGGATAGAGAGAGAAAGTGAGTTCTCGTCGCACAGCCTCCGTGGGAGTGAGTGCATGTGCGAAGCGAGCTCACCCGCCTCCTCTCCTTCTTGGAGGGGGGGAGGGGTTGGGTCCACCCGCACAAATTTCTCGTCGAACAGCCTCCTCTCCTTTTTTTGGGGGGGGGGGGGGGGGGGGGGGGGGGGGGGGGGGGGGGGGGGGGGGAGGGGGCGTGAGGGGAAGTGGGAGAGGCGGGTGGTTGGGGCAGGTGGGGAGGGGGGGATTTAGGTAACGTGAGGGAAGAAGGCGCAGGGGTGGAAGAGCGGGGGCTAGCACAGCCTCCTTGCATGCATGAATTGACTTTTGAGTCAACTCGGTAACGTGAGGGAAGAAGGCGCAGGGGTGGAAGAGCGGGGGCTAGCACAGCCTCCTTGCATGCATGAATTGACTTTTGAGTCAACTCGGTAACGTGAGGGACGAAGGCGCAGGGGTGGAAGAGCGGGGGCTAGCACAGCCTCCTTGCATGCATGAATTTTTCGTTGAATGGCCCCAATTCCTGTTTGAGAGGAAAGAATACCGAGAGCCCCCATATTCGCACCTTATCGGACCGCCCTGGCACGCTGTGGTAGCGGCAATACTCCACCACCAGCTGCAGCACCGCTACTGACACCTGCTAGCATTGACTTGTGTGCACTGACATTCATGCCTGCCTTGGTCTCTTGAGGGACACACTCCAACCAAGCAGCCCCCACAGACTCACCTTGTCGGAGCGCCCGGGCACGCTGTGGTAGCGGCAGTATTCCACCACCAGCTGCAGCACCGCGTGAACCACTGGAGCAGCTCTCACTCTCACACACTGACACTCACACTCTCACTTCCACTCTCACCTTGTCGGACCGCCCTGGCACACTGTGGTAGCGGCAGTATTCCACCACCAGCTGCAGCACCGCGTGAACCACTGGAGCAGCTCTCACTCTCACACACTGACACTCACACTCTCACTTCCACTCTCACCTTGTCGGACCGCCCTGGCACACTGTGGTAGCGGCAGTATTCCACCACCAGCTGCAGCACCGCGTGAACCACTGGAGCAGCTCTCACTCTCACACACTGACACTCACACTCTCACTTCCACTCTCACCTTGTCGGACCGCCCTGGCACACTGTGGTAGCGGCAGTATTCCACCACCAGCTGCAGCACCGCTGCTGACACCTGCTTGGGGAGTAGAATGGGCGACGACTCATGCGATCCCCCCGCACTGCCACCAGCACCAGTAGAAGCAGTTGCAGTGGCAGCGCCAGGAGCATCAAGAGCACCGGCAGTTATGGCAATAGCAGCAGTTGCGGCAGCAGCACCACCAGCCGCCTCAGCAGCAGCGGCAGAAGCACCACCAGAGCCAGCACCAGCATCAGCAACAACCGCACCAGAAGCTGCAATCACGGGATAATCACTCAGCTTCTTTACAATATCACCCACGCCCGCTCCCTCTCCCTTCCCTCTCAAACCCTCGTCAGAATGTCCTTTCTCTGATTTGACTCTAGCCATGGTCTGGGATGACTTTTGAGCCATGGCCTGCCAGAGGAAGGGGATGAAAGCGGCGACGCGTCTGTCCATCTGAAGCGTCTCGCCCTCTGACGTCAGCAGCCACACGCCCGTGGCGCTGTCGAATCCCACAGGGGAAGTGCTTTCAGGTTCCTTCCCTAAATCTGCTCCGTTTTCTGGTTCCGCTTCCTTCTTTGTTCCCGCCGTGTTCCCTGCTTCCGGCGCCTTTACTGCCTCCGCTTCTTGCCCTGATTCTGCTCCCTGCCGTGATTCGGGTGCAGCGGCACCGTTCCTGTTTGCTGACGTGGCGCTACTCCCAAGCGGTGGTGTGGCTGTATTACCGATTCCTGCTGCTGTCTTCGCATCAGTCGCTGCTGCTGCGGACTTCGTGTGAGTCGGTTGCGTCACACCATCACATATTCGTGTTGCATTTTCAGTTGCGTCAGCTTCTGCTGTTACAGAATCGGGTCCACGTGTACTTGTAACGTCAGAACCGGGTGTAGCTGTAACGCCAGTAACCCCGATATTGGCACACTCGTGGGTATCGGCATCACCGTTAATGCTCAATTCTCCGCGCCGGCTGGATTCACGTGAATGGTCCATGACACCCGACGGCTGAGATTGAAAGGAAGAAAGTGTTTTGCTGCCGAGATTCCCCAACCCACGATCCACCGTGTGGAGTATTGTTTGCCTGAACGACCACACTAAGGCGTATCTCTGACTAGACTAGAGGTCTCTAACGATGTGACTCCAACCAGCTTGAGCCTAATGATGTCGATAATTGTACCTGCGATCAAGACTGCGTTGGAGTGAAAATAATCGACGGTTGTTGCGAGACATGCTGCGGCTCCGAGGGTGACACGCACCGTTGATTGGTTCGCGTTCGTCGATGGTGGAATCGCAGCCGCCAAGAAAACGAAGCTCCAGCCGAAAATCCCAGGGTTTGGAACACGCTCCACCGCGCTATAGAGTTTTCCATAGCATCAATGTATATAGATGCTGCAAAACATATTCGATAGAAAAGGAATATCGATCCTGTTGGAGCAGTATGATTACACATGACTAACCAGGAAATTTGTAAAAATCCCACAGCAGGAAACCAGCAGCAACTAAAACAACCAGACCCAAGCAGCCAAGCCAAGTACGAAACCGAGCCAGCTAATTGATGCCTAATTATCGAATTTCATCAGCAGGTGCCAGAAATTGCCTGAACCACCCAGCCGACAGTACAGTACCACCAATGCTATGGTGGACTGATGCGCATTCATCAGCACCTTGGCCAACCTCGTCCACGCATCCCTCAGAACCTCCCATCCAGCATCCACTGCAACCCTCGTCCACGCCTCCACATGCGAGAGCTACTGACGCAGCAGCACAACGGCTGACCCGTTCGCACCTGCAGGAGCACCGTTTGCAGCGGCAGGAGCAGCACAGGCAGCACAACCATTTTCAGAAGCGCCGCAGTCAACAGATGAGCATTCTCCACCGCCTTAACCACCCTCATTTCTGGGAAGAGAGCTAGTTATCCATTGCCATTGGTGCAGCAGCAGAAGCAGACCCATTCGCACATGCAGGAGTACCGTTAGCAGCAGCGGGAGCAGAGGCACCAGAAGCAGCGCTGACAGATGAAGCACCAGAAGCTGTCTTAGCCGCCTCCTCCCTATCCATCGCCAACACAACTTTTTTCAGCAGAGCCTCGGTCGACAGATGAGCATTTTCCACCGCCTTAGCTACTTTCGTCCACGCCTCTCCATACCTCGGCTCAGCAGCAACACACCTCCTCACCACCTCCCCCCTCTGCTCCTCGCTCCCATGCGCCTTCTCAAACCTCCACAGCTGCGCCCAGAAATCCCCCACTTCCGGAGCTAGCGTCACGGCCCGGCCGAACCAGTTCCGAGCCTTGTCGACCTTCCGATCCGCCCAGAAGAGCCGGGCCACCGCAGCAACAACATAAGCGTCATGGTCGCACTTTTTCAGAGCGTCCACGCTGCGGGACTTTCGCTGCGGCCGCGGCGCCATTTCGATCGCTTCTGCCCATAGCCTCCCGTTGCTGGGACACTCTTGGAGAGCCTTGGCTAAGGTAGCTTCGGCGGCCTTCTTGTTCCCGGCCCGAGCCTCCGTCCGAACCGCAGCCAGCCAGAGGTCCGGCGTCTGCGGGTTCTTGTGCCGAGCCTGCTCCAGAATCGCCCGAGCCTTGCTCACCGCACCTAGATCCTCCTCCAGCTTCGCAGCGCACAGCCAGAGGAAAATACTTCCCGGGCAGTTTTTCAGCCCGCGCTGGAAAATTTCCCGGGCAGCCCCGGTCCGGCCCTGCCGAGCCTCCAGCTGCCCGAGCATGAGCCAGAGCTTGTGAAACCCGGGAAAGAGCCGCAACCCCGACTCTAACAGAAACTTTTCCTCCTCCACATCCCCAACCTCTCTCTCTAAGATAGCCGATTTCATCCAAACTCTCTCCGTTCCCCCCATCTCTCTCGCCTTAGCAAGAAGCCTCCTCGCTCGCTCTGGCTCCCTGTTTTCAAATTCCAGTTTGAAAGCAGCAAGCCAGATCTCCTCAGAATCCGGAATGGCAGCGTAGGCCTCTTCTAGGATAGCTCGCGCCCCCGGCACGTCTCCTGCTAGCCACTTTTCCTTTGCCCCCATGAGCCATAAAACTTCGGCCTGCGGGCAGTACGTGACTGCCCGGCGGAGCAGCGCGTCCAATGACTCGCGAGTCCCGTGCGTTTTTTCCAGCTGGGCTGCCCGCCGCCACACCGACTTCTTGCCCGGAAAAACGGTCAGCACGTGCGCGAAAATCGCCCGAGCCGTCTCCACCGAACCTCTTTTGATACACTCCTCCGCGTCTGCCACCCAGGTTCGTTTCCGATCCTCCTCCTCCACCCCCATACCGACCGTCGAGCGAATGATAGCGCGACACGTGGCAACCGACCCTGCCCTTTCCGCTGCTTCAGCCTCCCTCATCCACGCTTCCCTATCAATCACCACCCCTTCTCTCTGCAACCCGCGAATCGCCCTCTCTATAATCTTCCCCACCATCCCTTCATTATCATTCGCTTCTTCCAACTTAGCAGCAGCAATCCAGATAGCCGGTTCAGTCGGTAAAGCCTCCCTAGCCTTATTCAGAACCCTCTTAGCGTTTTCGTAAACCTCTAGACGGGCCAGGGCTAGCCAGAGCTCCACGTGTAACGGGCAGCACTCAACTGCCCGGGACAAAAGAATCCTCGCGTCGTCCTCCTTAGCTAGCTCCACCACCGCTTTCCACAGACGCACTGAATCCGGTACGTGCTCTAGAGCCTTCCTTAAAACGCGGGATTTCGCCACGTCATCCTTTTCCAGCCGGGCGGCGTGCATCCAGAGCTTGACAGATGTCGGGATCTCCTTCACCCCCCGCGCGATCACGGCTCGAGCCGCGTCAGGAGAGGAAAGGCGACACGCCTCCAACCAAACGTCCTCGTTTTTAGGACACTCCTGGCACCCCCTTTGAATAAACCCCCTCGCGGCCTGAAGCTTCCCAGCAAGTTCCTCCAGCCGCGCTGCTGCTATCCACCCAGGAGCGTGCTTCGGATTCGTCTGGATCACCGATTTCAGCAGCAGGCGCGCCTTTTTAATATCCGAAATCTCCGCGTCGGACGTAATCCGCATGGATTTAAGATCCGTTAAGTACCCCTTAGGATCCACTACAGTCTGCCCCGTTACACTGTCAGACAGCCGATCGAGTTTCAGGCTCAGCACTGTACCGCGTCCCTCGCCCACAGCCGTCAGATCTGTCACGGGCGTTTGAGATGCGAAAGGCGTTTCAGTGCCGCCCAAAACCGCCCCTTTCCCCTTCGGGTCTAGGGCCGACACGTGTTCCTTCTCCTGCCGCGCCTTCTCTAAGAGCGTATCCGGTACGGGCACAAAGCTCTCAAACCGTTTCTTTTTGTTTCGCAAACTGTAGTCCCCAATTTCCGGAATGCTGTCCCAATCAGTGGTCGACATCTGGCCCAGCCCACGCTTCAGATCCGCAAATTGCTCCGTGATTTTCGGGTTCGAGGCGCGGTACTTCTCGATCTCCTCCTTCAGCCGCGCGTCGCGCCGGTCGCGCCGCCGATCGTCCATGCGCTCGTCGACGCTATCCCAAATCGCGTCCGCGTCTTTATCATCCTCGTCATACTCCCCCGTCGCGAACAGTCCCATATCGTTCCCTTCGAACTCGTCGAATTTCTGATGCTCGTCGTATTTGACCTCTTTCTTCTCCTTCCCCGTCTCCTCTTCCTCTTCCTCCTCCTCCTCCTCCTCCGCTCCCCCCGCTCCCCCTCCCGCGCCTCTCCCGCGGCCCAACGGCGCCGCGTTGCGGTCCGGCATGTCTGGCGCCGCCCGCGCGGGACCGATATCGGACCGCGTGGTGAAACCCGTCGCACCGCGACCCAGACCGGCGACATAGTTAGGAGGCGGGCGTTGATTGAAGTTGAGCTTCGGGCGTGGAACCGCGGGCTGCGGCGCACCTCCGGGCAGAAAAAAAGTCTGGTGGACGGTCAGGTCCCGAAGCGGAAGCGAATGCTTACGTGGATCGCCGCGTCGCGACGCGAATACGGACGCGAGCGGCGCGGCATCGTCGGAGAGCAAGCGCGATTCGAAAAGGAGGTGTTGGCGGGAAATGGTGGCGGGACCGCCTTTGGAGGCCAATAGGTCTTTAAGATCCGCGGCTCGCGCGGAATCCGGGAGCTGTAGGGAGAGTGTGGTCCCTCCTAGGGTTCGAACGAAGAGATGCATGTCGGCTCCTGCTGGTGGTGCTGCTGGAGTGCTGCTGATGACGCTATTGATGATCACTGCTGCTGACTGAGAAACAGTCGCTAAGCTGTTCTCTCGAACCCTCAGGGTGCTAGAACACTGAGAAGAACTCTTAGATGGCATAAACGTTGTGTACTGCTAAGAGAACCCAGTATGGGCGTAAAACGCGCTGAGGAAAGTAGCCGCGAAACACGCGCTAACGAAATCCGTGATAAGATGCGATAAGAAAACGTTGCTCGTAGGCTGCTGAAAGTACCCTAGTCTTCTAGACTGTTCAAGGTATATATTGTGCTTGTTAGATGTGACCAGGGAGGGAGATCTCGAGAAACTGTATTCCAACCCCCAAGGGCGCGACACTTCGGACGACAAGGGTTCAGTGCGGTACATTACGTTAAACGATAAAACAAATTGTTTCAGTACGTTGACTGTTTGAATACGCCCGTTCGAACGTCGGATGTGACACGCAGCACATCTCGAGGCTATTGTGTGGTGTGATTTCGTTGCGCTACAGAGTTTCACTCTGATTGCGTCTGCTGCGTGTATAATTTGACATTTCAGTTGTGGCACTTGTTCATCTGATTGAGTTTTTCTACCACTTCCTGGTTCATACCTCTTTAAGGTTTGTCGTTCTGATTGTAAATACAACACGAGATTGACACCATGATCCTCTTCAGGGGAGTACATTTTGGCTATGCACAGCCTAGGGTACATGCTAGCAACACTCAACAAAGCATTTCATTCATCCTGTCCCAGATGAACTGGCCTAAACAATACAACAAACACCTTAATAGAGATTTCTACTCGTGAGTCGGAACCAGTTTCCAACTTCACTCTCCTAACCAATCTAGGAACACCCGACCACTCCATTAATCAACTTTCCCTGAGCCTGCTTCCACTCCCACTCTCTCACCTATCCAGAGCTTGTTTCACAAGTGCCTTCTGCTCCGCACTCAACCGCCTCGGGAACTGCACCTCAAACTTAATCCGCAAATTTCCCTTCTTTCCAGGCTCTTTCATCGGCATACCCTCACCCGCAACCACCTTCTCATACCCCGGCGAAATCACCTCCGTTACAGGCACTTCCAACCTTCTCCCGTCCAGGGTAACCACCCTAACCGTGTAACCGGTTAAAGCCTCAGCGAGACTCAATTTCTGGGTGTAAATCAGGTCGTTGCCGTCGCGTTTGAACCTATCGTGGGGTTTCTCTTCGATGATGAAGGTGAGATCTGCTGCGAGCATGCCAGGTTGCTCGTTGCCTTTCTCTGTGAATGTGATCTTGGTGCCTCTCTTCCATCCGGGCTTCACATTGATGGTCAGGACCTCCTCCACGGGCAGCGTTTTCCTGAGAAAAAGAAGGGGATCAGAAGCGTAAGGACAGAGGTTTATCAATTTAGGATCCCAACCATAATTTCTTTTGACGAGAACTATTCGAAAGAAAAATAGAGAAGAATAAGGCGCGGCATTCGGATGTAACATAAATTGAACCTCGGATCACTTACCCGCTGGCGTCTGCAATGTTTCTTGAAATCTTCATTTTCCGTGTGGATCCGGTATAGAGCTCCTCGAGAGTGCACATAAGCTTGTTCTCCACAGGAGGCGGCTTTCTGGGACTCCTGGGACTCCCGCCCATGGGCGAACGCGCGAAGGGGGATTCGTCTCCGCCGAACATCTCCTGGAATTGCATTCCGCCCATTCCCCCCATTCCCCCCATCCCCCCCATCCCCCCCATTCCCCCCATTCCGCCCATTCTTGGAGATCCGTTGGGTGACATTTGCGTTACGCGGATACCCGGCCCGCCAAACCCGCTGAACGAACTTCCGCCCATTCCGCCGCCGCCGAACGGGCTCGACCCGCCGCCGAAGAACTCCGCAAAAATGTCCTCCGCGTTTCGCGGATTGAACGAGTGGAAGCGCACGCCGCCGCCGCCGCCGCCTGGCCCGCCGGGGAAGCCGCCGGGAAACCCCCCGCCAGGGGCGCCGCCGTTTGCTGCGCCGGGAGGAGGCACGCCTCCTTTAAGACCCTCTTCTCCGTACTGGTCGTAGATCTCGCGTTTCTCGGGGTCGCTGAGAACCTGCATGAGATTAAAGAGCCAAATAAATATCAGTAAAGACGCGCTAAAGGACATTGACGAACGGGGTTTGTCGCAGCACAAAGCGCTTATTCACTGCTGTTTCACAAAAAAATTTAGCGGTTGTTTGTTTTTTATTACTATTAAATTCGTACCTCGTATGCTTCTGATATTTGCTTGAACTTGGCCTCCGCTGCGTCCTTGTTGTCGGGGTTCTTGTCCGGATGCCATTTCATGGCGAGCTTGCGGTACGCCTTCTTCAGCTCGTCGTCAGTCGCGGTCTTAGAGACCGACAGCAGGCCGTAGTAGTCTATCCCCATCTTAATAACTAATAACTAGCTTTGAGAAAAAAACGAATCACTTCGTAAGGGAGCTCTACAAGTACTTTATCGGACAGGCTAAAGCTTGTCTTCTTGGAGATTTTTTTAGGAGATGAGCAGAGAGAGGAAGAGAGATAGCTTGAGTAGCTCGTGCTGCCCCGAATTGAAACCGTTTTAGTAATGAATGAGGTAGTTCATGGGTATTTATAAAAGAGGGATGGGAGAGGAGGGGCGCAGGAAGAGCTGGATGATAAGGATGGGGCTGGAATGTGCTTCGCGAAGGTACACGAAGCATGGCGAAAATGCTCGAAGGTGGACGAAGAAAGCAAACAAAGCGAAGCGACCGTAACGAAAGTTACCTCAGCTCTCGCGAATTTGGAGAACATTCCCGAACTTTCCCGAACTCTCCCGAACATTCCCGATCATTCGAGCACTTTCCCATTGAACCTTGCACCATTCCTTTTCACCCTTGGGATTGACGCGCATGTAGTGGAATCTGTCTGGAAGGGGGAAGAGAAGGGACGAACAACGCACCCGCGCAGGCGTGAAGGGGGAAAGCCCTTCGCCACTGCGCGAGGTGGAGGGAGGTTGGGCTGGGTGGGGGATTTGCGGCAGATAGGGGCACAACTGAGGTGAAGGGAGGGAGTGGCGGCGTAGGAGAGGCGAACCACACTGTAACGTAACGAACCGAACGCAATAGAGAGGGCAAACCCACAGCCAGTCAAGCATTGGTGCTGTTGTGAGCGAATGTTCTCCGCATGAGCTCGGTGAATGGTGAATGTTCGTTGCCACTGTAATAAAGGTCCCCACATGAACATCCTCTGTAAAGTATACCCACTCTGTAAAGTATACCCACTGTCTAAAAATAAACAACACCGCTTATCCAGTATCCAAATACCGGTACGAGGCTACAAAACACCTGTGGAACCTTAAGGCCTTGTGGAAAGGTCTGTTACAAAGGCGATTACGCTCTTGTTTCCTGCTTGCTTTCCACCATTCAGAATGTACAACCGTTCCAATGTGAGACCATACACGATGGAGCACACGGTATCAACATCGTGGTGACCAACAACTATATTAATACAAATACCATCATATATGCATATATAGATATATATGTATACATTACCTGTAGAACATTCCCATCTCAAACTACGGTTCCCCCTCTTGAATTGAAGGACCGTCATAGGCGGGCTGGGCCTACCTAGACTGCAGTACTGTAATCCTGCTCACACCAGCCGATTCTGCGCCAACTCAAAACTTCCCTGTCAACCTGTTTCCCCCTTTTCCATGGAAGGATCATCATAGGCCGGCCTGCCTAGCCACAGGGTATTCCTGCTCTCATGAACCTCAAACGATAGCCCACTCCTCTCACCAGCCGGTTTTGAGTCGACTTGAATATCCACTCAGCCTATTATTCCCCCTCTTGCATGGAAGAATCATCATAGGCAGGCCTGCCTAGCTGCAGTGTAACCCTGCTCTCATCAAAAATCAAGCGATAGCCTATTCCCCTCCCTTGCCCCGATTATACTAGAGGAGTTGAAGACTTGCCTCCTGGAAGAAGCATGGCCCTGGCTTCTGCTCCTTCCTAGCCCTCTTTCTGTAAACCCAGCTCCTAGGTTAGCCTGCTGCTGGTGCTGGTGCCGATGCTGCTGCTGCTGTTGCTGCTGCTGCTGCTGCTGCTGCTGCTGCTGCTGCTGCTGCTGCTGCTGCTGCTGCTGCTGCTGCTGCTGCTGCTGCTGCTGCTGCTGCTGCTGCTGCTGCTGCTGCTGCTGCTGCTACTGCTACTGCTACTGAACATCGTCATCATCAAGGTTTTCCTCTTCATGCCGTCATGGCATCGCCTGCTCCTGCTCCCAGCACGGCCATTTCACCACGTGATTTTGACATTGATTTGAGCAGGAATCTTCATGAACCACCACCAGGGGCAGCAGCACCAGCAGCCATTGAAACAGAACCAGAAGGAGCAGCAGCAGCAGCGCCTACAGCATATACCAGTGCGATCTTATTGAATGGACTTGATCGACCAACCCTTAACCTGGCTGGTGTGAGGGATTCATCTGAGTATGCGGCAGCAGCTGCTGGAGCACCAGGGTCTGTTTCAGGTCGGTCTTTGACTGCTATGGCTGTTTCCAGTGCCATCAGACCAGCTATTAATCTTCATGCTGTGGTGGATTCAGCTGGGGACGACAGAGCTGCGGCCGCAGCAGCTGTTGCTGCGTTTTCTGAGGCTCAGGCGGAGTCTCTCCGACTCATGGCGTCCTTCTGCTCTATCATCCCCAGCCCCACACCGCTTCAATCACCTCAGCAGAATGAACAAGGGTGGTTGCACTAACAACATTGGGAGTACAAGTAGGAAACCCTAGAATGTTGTACCCCCTAAGGCTAAACCCACTATAGCCTACAGAATATAAACATATACAATGTTTGACATGAGCGTGTATAGTTCGTCCTTGATGCCGCAATGTCCCACGTTGTACACCTTCTCCAGTTTGGTGTAGCGGTTAGTTCCGGGCTCTAGTAGGGGGAACGGTTGGTGGCTCAGCGCGGCTTCGCGGTAGACGGTGCAGTTGCGCAGATGTGTCGCGCCCCTTACTTCGGTGCCATCAGGGCGCAGGAGTGCGCCAGGCGCAAATACGCCGGCCTCGATGCAGTTCTTCAGTGTTACGCGCGAGGGGTGACCTAGGCGCTGGTGCCAGATGGCATCGTGAGCGCGGAATCCAGAGGTGCGCATGTAGCGCGCGTGTGCTTCTGCGGGGTCCTCGTCAGGCGCTTGAGCGGGTGTCGCCGCTGCTTCTTCAGCTTCTTCTTCGTCGTTCGCCGTCGTCAGCATTAGCGCAAGAAATTCCCTGTCAAGGATGGTGGAGAGGGGAATATTAGTTCCAGGGATGGTTCCCGGGAAGAAAGTTGGTTCGCGCGGCTCGGGGGGAGGCCCGTAGACGGTGCGACGCGGAGTAGATGGCTCATTCCCCCAGTCGATGGTGTCCCAAGGGTCACTCCCTGGCGGGATGTCAGGTGGGGGCAGTGCAGGTGCAGGGCGGCGTGGAGGACGACCAAGAGGGACAACAGGAGGTTCGGCCTCAATTTCTTCTTCTTCCCCCCTTTGGTCCTCGCGGGAAGCTCCCCAACCGCTTGTCTCGCCGCCAGATGCGGCGCCCCATCCGCCGGTGTTGCCGCCGGTGACTGCTCCCCATCCACCAGTGTTGCCACCAGTTGCGGCTCCCCATCCGCCGGTATCGCCGCCGGTATCGCCGCCGGTGTCGCCCGTGCCCCATCCGCCAGCGCTTCCCCACCCCCCTTCATTGGAGGCGCTCTCTTCTTCGCCCCATCCGCTCTAGGCGAATGTGCCGCGCGACTCCGCAAGGCTCCGTTGGCGAAGTTCTTCCGCTTCGCGACGCTCCAGTTCCTCCTCTTGCGCCACGGTAAGCTTCTTCGTAGAGTCGCTCTGGTGAGCGTAGATCTCCAGAAATTTCTCCTTTGTGTAGGGCCGCGGGACTCCGTGCGCATCGAAGGTGCCGACGCCGACGCCGCGCAGCATGCCTTGAAGATGTTGTGATGCATTCCGAAGATGCCGTGTGTTGTGATTGCGAGTTCCAGGTTTGACATTCCCTCTTCAGGCGGTGCTTCCCGCTCTGCTTCGGCGATGGCAGCAAGGCCACAGCCGGCAATCGCGCTCGTTGAGGCTGTGGGCGTATGGCAATCTCTGCGGATGCCGTCGGGGTCGGGGTCATGCAGCGCCGTTTCGCGCAGGTGAGCGTGATGAGGCACCCACGGTCTTCCGTCAGGGTGCTTCCAGTCACGGTGGTGAATGTGTTCGAAGCGCAGGGGAACGAGATCGATGAGCTCCTGCGAGTCACTGCTGCAGTCGGGAATACTGAAGTCGAGGATGTAAACTCCGTTTTCGGAGTGCGCTCGCCCGATCTGCTTGCGCGTCTTGTTCGGCATCGTGAAGTGGAGTAAAATGTCACGTGTCTCGGGGTCGGTGCTGAGGTCGACCCCGCAGTCCATGAGTTGTGCCGCCGAGAGGAGATTGAAGCGTAGATTCTGCACGATCAGCACGTCGTTCAGCATGATGTGCATCCTGCTCCCGCGGGCCTTGAGCACAACGATGCCTTGCTCGCTTGCGCGCAGGCGTGTGTTGTTCGCCACGGTGACGTAGGTGATGGCGGGGGTGGGGACGGCGTTGGATATGTAACGCTCGGAACCCACCATATGCTGCCCACAGCAGCTATCCAGGTACCACGTGTTGTAGCGCCTGCTGTCGTTACGTGCGAGCAGCGCCATTCGCGGAGTAACGATGTGTGGTGTGTCAACCTTTAGAAATTGTTCGCGCGCGATCCAATCGATCGGTGCCGCCCTCGTATCAGGTACGTGTGGGGGGCTCTCGAGCAGCGGGACTGGGTGATTCCAGTCCTGGTCGTCGTCGTCGGTGAAATCGTGGCGCGTGCTGAACGGATTGTTGTTCGAAAACGCTCCGATTGGATGGCGTGCTGGCTTAGGTGATGCTGAGCGTGCACGGGGACGACGGGATCCGCTCGTCATTGTCATGTTGCCCATGACGTTGCGGACGGGCGCAATTGGTGGCTGCTGCTGCTGATGCTGAATCGTTGGATTCAGGTTGCGCGGTGGGGGTTGATGCCCCTGGGCAGGACGCGTGTCATTCCGTGCGTCTTGTCGGCCGGACCAGTTGCTCGGATTGGTCTGGCGAGGGCGAGATCGGTATTTGCATCGTTCCGCCAGGTGCCCGAAATTTCTTCAAATCTTGCAGTATAGGCGCCGCGGCCGTCGCTCCTCCGTGTTGTCGGCGTAGAAAGCGAGGCGTTCCCTGTCTCGTCGCGGCGCTGGTCGCTGCTGGTCCATATCCCGTTGTTCGACGAGGAGGGCGGCGCAAAGGGCGGCCTCCGAGATGACCCCCTGCTGTCGGAGAAGCGCCTTGCAGGGCCGCCACTCTCGGCCGAGCCCTTGAAGCACGATGTTCACGAAGATTTCCTCAGAGATCG